GATCTTCCAAGTAAACAGAGGCTGCCAAGAAAGGCTAGAGGTCCATAGAAGGGCCAAAGTCTGTGCAGGAGGTAGAGGGAGTGGTTCCCAGGGCCTGGCCTGTAGAGGTGGATGAACAAGTGAAACAGTGAGATTTCAAGACAAACTCCAAACTCATACTTCCTGCCATCCTACTAATATCTAAAACTCATCACCAAACAGCAACTCTTGAACAAATACGTCATCGTTTGGAGCCTCATGAAAACTTCCTGGGAATGGAAAATTCCGTGTTCAGACTATGGTCCCTTTTGTCCTTTGGATCTGCTGGGCAAAGGGCTTGCGCTGTCCCTGGGACAGCTGTGCCTGAGACACATGAAGCCCGTGCTTCATGCGGTGACAGTCTCTACAGCAAGAGACCTGCACAGCTTTCCACCAGAGAGTGATGAGCTGGCCCGTCTACCTGTTACCCAGATGTCTTGAAGGAGAAATTTTCTATGGGTTTCAGAGGTTCATCCCTGCCTTCTCCCCCCAGACACCCACTGTTTTGAGACCTGACCCAAGTGGGGCTATTCAGAACTCACCGAGAACCAGGTGGCATCATTCTTGAGCCACCATTAAATCTCCACAAGTTCTGAGGTTGGCTAGGTAAAAGCTAGAGGTGAACTCTTTCTAGGAATAGATTTTACAAGTGTTGTATGGAATGAGTAATTCTCGTTTAATAAAGACAGATGGGCGGATGGATGAGGGCACACATTATGCCCTCAATATGCTTAAGCCATGTGTTCTGACTTGATTCCTAAAGTGTTTGCAGGCCTTCCAGACACCTACCACAGTTAAGATGAGATCATTGTGAAGGAGCTTCAAATCAGACAACCCATAATACTTGATGTAGAAAGAAAAAAGTGACCCAGCTTCCATAATTTTTTATTAAATATTTGACACGTTGAATCACTTCTTTACAGCTTCATCCTTTTTTTTTTGTCACAGTACTCTTTCTGCCATCAGGAAAACAAGCTACAATTTCTCTTTTAGATTCCCTCAAGAAAGAAAAGCAAAAAGGACTTGTTCTTACACCAAAACATTTCCTGTGTGTATCAAATTCAACCACATTTTAAAGCTATTTGGATTGTGAAAATGAGCAGTATTCATACATTTTCTTAAAAAAAAAACAAACCCTGAAGGTAGTTTGGTTTTGACCATTGTAAGAAATAGTAGTTGGCTTTCTTTAGGAGGTGAGTTTAGAGTAGAAAGTTACTGAACACTGAGAATTCATTTGGAATGCTTGAAATACTTTTCACCTCAAAAGTCACTTTCCCCCCTATGTTTTGTTTGATAACAGATCATTAATTAAGAAATGATAGCAAATTAACATCATCTTCCTAGGGTTCTCTCAGGCTCGGAGTAGCAGGATATTTAAGGACACAGCTTGGAAAAAAACTGCAGAAGGAACTAACTTCTCACTCCCTTTTGAATCCAAATGGCCCATAAAGGTGTAAAAATGCTATACAAATATATACATGTATATTTGGACAGCATACATCTGTATATATGTATTCATGTTTCATACAGAGTCGTAAAGGAAGAACAGAGTCACCCAGCATTAACATGAAGGAAACTGTTGACGATTTAGGTGAAATTAGTCAATACGAGGGGCAGAAGAACTTACACAGGAACAGACATTTGTTGACACAGGTTATGGTCACAAGAAAGAAGACAGAAGGTCAAGAATGCAGTACATGAGAGGTCAGGCACCAACAGCGATGTCCTGAGGTTCCTACATTACTCCTTACAGACAAAAGCAACCAACAAAGGGACATGCACTTTAAACATGCACTGCTCTGAGTGTAACAGCTTTTAACAAAGGAGAAGACATTGAATGCCGTGTTTTCTTGGAAAGTATCACACCAACAGAAAACTATGCCTTTTCTACAAACAGTACACAGGCTCATGTCCTAATGCTACAGCATTTTCTCTGACACACCAAAACCACTCTGGAGTAGAGTGTCCATATACAAGTGTAATATATACACTGTTCATTAAGGCTTATATAAATTAAAAAAGTGGTCCAAAGTATATCACATTTTTCTCCCCAGTTTTAAAAGCTAAAGTACAAAGTGGAGTTTGTAAGTCCCCCCCCCCCCCGCCCAACACAACTCAGTCCTAAAATTGGCAGTTTCAACATGAGTTAGGATGTACCCCAATGCCTGAATAAGACAGAGGTAGTGTGCGATTTTCTGGGGATCGAGACAGGCAGCCGGGGTAGGCAGTGACCCTGCACAGCAGCACCCCTAGTGGCCAGGTAGAAAATGACACCAGACAGCATCTCCTCAGGGGTGCTGAGGCTGAAGAGAGAGGAGAGCCAGCCCAGCGGGGCGGAGCCCGGCAGCGGATGAACCCAGGCTCTCTTTGCTCAAAGCCTTTACAATTTCAGAGGTGAGATACAAGACAATTAGGAAAATACAAGATCCAATTGGTAAACTGGTAGATCTTAGCACAACTAGAATTTGCTGGACAGGAACTTGGCTTTCCAGAGAGCAAACTGGGATCTGGCAAGAGCAAAGGTACCCGTGAAATACTGAGAGTGGTTCAAGTATTTTGCTCACCATTTCTCAGACTATGCCACTGGGTCCTTCAGGTGGGAGGAACAATCTCTGCGAAGTCACTTTAGGTATCATTTGCCATCTGAAATTAGGAATGTCTGATGTCATCTACCCAAGAGCCTTGGAGACAAAATAATAAACATATCTGGTTCTCGTGGTTGTTAGAGGTCTGGCTACTAAAAAACAAAAACAAACGCCCCCCCCCCAAACACTAAAGGACTGCTGTTTCCAAAAAGTAAAAAGTAGATGTTCTAGCTAGATAAAGAAAGCACATTGAGGCCTAATATTTCAAAGAGACAAATGGAGGATTCCTCCTTTGCTGCAGAGGCTGAGAGGAGAGAAGCAACATGCTGCTGAAGTTAATCCAAAGTCACCCAGAGAGCAGGAAGGGAGCAGGCACTGGCTTGGAGCAGCCAGTGATGCTCTGCCCTCGTGCACATCCCCCGAGGGCTGCATACACCATTTGGCTTCCTGGTAAAAGGCCTGTATGACCGCCGCTGCTCAGGAAGCCAGAGAACTGGGACTGCAGTGGGTAACAGAACCAGGCAACAGAAAGAAGGGAAGAGTGCTGAGGGGCATGCAGAAGGGCTCCAGCCGGCGACAACAAACTAAGCCTGGCCGCAAGCAGAGGTGTCACCCAGAGGACCAAAACGTGGGCATCAGATTTGGAGACAAAACACAGCATTTCAGGCAAAGAGTGAAACTTCACAAACTGCTGAAGACTGGCGAACCAAAACCCTCCACGAATCTAGTCGTAGTTTTTGTTCCCATCAGCTATGAGTAAGGGACGGATGATCCGAAGTGTCCCTCACGTTTGCTGCCTTCAAGGGCTCCTTTCCCATTCGGCTGTTGAGATGATCAGAAGCTTTCCTTTTTCATACTTCTGATGTTTGGCCTAATTTGCATTTAGTGAATAATCTGATTTTTTTTGGAAAGAAAATACAGAGCTTACAAAAATACAGAAGAATCCCAGTTCTCAGACTAGCATCTTATTTCTCCTTCTTTACTTACAAAACCCACCAAAACGTACTGCTCTCAACTCAGGCAGGGCTTTGAAACAGACACCTGTGAAGCTTACCAAAAAGGTGGTCTTAAAATGTTTTGCTTGCCATTGTCAACTGCAGGGGGAAATGCCACCAAGAGACGAAAACAATGAGTGACATTATTTTTTTTAATAATGAATACCTAAGTTGTCTGATCATGGTTAGATATTTAAAAACCACCTTGAAGAGGAGCCAATATTCAGCTCTGTCAGAATCCACCTTCTTTTAGAACCTCAGACTTCTGCATTCCCCCAGACAACTTATTTATAACTACAACCTTCTAGGCTTCTCATGTAACACCCAGAGTTGCCTAAATACAGGCAACTCCTGACACCAGAGGTTCTTCGTGCTCCTGAATGGTATGACCACGTCTAGTACAGCATCAGTTAAGACCTCGGGGTGACCAATCTCACACCCAGTCCCAAAACATGACACGACTCTGCAATGGAGATGACCCAAACTGCCCAGACAACCCTGAATTTTTTGGCCACAGCTGGCTGAACAACTTGACCACAGTGGATCACACGGTGTCTTCTCGGCCACTTTTACGATAGACACAACTCAGACAGTACACGGCACTGAAGCATGCAACAGGTCATACAGAACATAGTTCGGTTAAGTGGATAGTAAATAGATACTTGTAAGTCCGGTAGAAACTGCAAAACATTGGGCAGCATAGCATCTGTAGGCCCAGCTTCACAAAGGATAGATATTGCACTGGAAAGATGTGTGCAAGTTAAGAAAAACTCACGTTTAACATTTATGATAAACAAAACAAACCAGATAGGACCTCCATGTACTATATCCAGTGCCTTCAGATTTGGTGCAGTTAGTGCCTAAGAGCAGGCTACTGAGCTACCGATAAGGAACACACAAGAGATAAGAGATTAGATGCATCTGGCTCCCACAGTTTTTTGAACCAAGCAGTGGTGGGTTTCATTCTATTACAAACAGAAGAGAATTAAATAGAACAAAAGGATGGCTGTACAACAACAGGAAGGGCTACGGAATTTTCTCCAACCCTGTCTCCAGTATGCGCCAGCACACCCCATTGCTTCTAAGGAATGGAGGTGTGATTCCTTTTAGGTTGACACAAATATATCATGCTATGTTACAATTCTCTCAGCCTGTCAGCGACTACCTAAATTTGTACCAAAAAAAAAGAGTAATATCCAGTTTATTTTCATTGTGACTATGGAAAACAAAATCGTCACTATGCTGAATGTCATATTTGAAATTCTCTCAAAGTACTCGTCTTTAGAAGGGACAAAAATTAGTCTTCTGTTTCTAAGAGGGTGGGCCTGTCAAAGTACTTAAAAAAAATGTCACTGACATGGAGCCTGGTATGAAATCCAAATACAAAAACAAATAGGGTCACTTTTCCAAGTACATGAGACATCTTTAATTGTAATGAAATAAAATCTGAGGCTTGGTCTAAATCAGTTTTAAAAAGTAAACATGAGCTGAAATACTATACCTGTAGAGTGATTAATTCCATTCATTGTCATTAGAAAGTATGCAAAATATTTATTAAGGGCTTGCCTGCAGAGGCACAACATAAATAGAACACATCCTCCTGAAATGTAATTAGTGTACAGGTCAACCAGTTGAGAGTTGGTGGTGGAAGAGGCAGGAACTGGAGCCTGGTCTGGTTCCTGCGGCGGAACTTGGGCGTGGCCTGGAGAAGGCTAGGCTCCAGTAGCCAGGCTGTGCAGCTGCTCTCTTGCCACCGGCCCTGCAAAAGTCTTGTTAGACAAATGCAAAAGTGCATGCGGAACTTGCTGGATGGACGGCGCCCCCCTGAGGCAGGAGACCTTAATCCACCCCTTCAAATCCTTGGGCATTTTCCACGGCCATGAGAAGTTTCTCACGTAAATCTTCGAAGGTTTCGTATGGAGGTAAGTCAAGGCGATTAAAGCTGCAAACGAAACAAAGTTTAGGTGAACGGCCAACGTGTGTAGGCACAACAACCTTTCCTAGATTTCGCTAATGGGTGTTCTGTATTGGTACAACAGAACAAAAAAGATGTGTGTGTTTATGTATACGTACATTTAAACTGGTTCCAGGCTTTGGTGTCAGGACCTCTTTCTGTTCAAATGTTCTAACACTTCAGCCACATGTCAAGGCTTTTGTGCTTTCACTGTTTTTTGGTTTTGTGGCTTTTTGTTTTCAGATAGGGTTTTGCTTATTGTGCAGGCTGACCTCAGGCCTTGAGCCTCCAAGCTATACCTTTGGTGGCCTGTGCCACCATGCTCAACTTATTTTTTCAGACTGGGTTTTGCTGCCTCTTTAGTTAGGGTGTCCCCACAATCCTTCTATCTCAGTCTCCAATTTGGTCCTTGATCCTCCTACCTAATCCTCTGGGATAGCTGGGATCTCTGGCATATATCACCATGCCCAGCTTCACAGCCACAATTTGATAATTAAAAGATATATTCTAGCTATGAAACTGTCCATACCAGACAGGTACGGACAAATCTACAAGAGAAATGAATATTTTTCTTTCTTCTTCTTCTCCTTCTCTTTGGTTGGTTGTGGGGCCTGAACTCTGGGCCTGGGCATTGTCCCTCAGCTCTTCAGCTTAAGGCTAGTGATTTACCACTTGAGCCACAGCGCCAGTTCTGGCTCTAATTGCTTATTTGGTGCTGAGGAATCAAACCTAGGACCTCATGCATGCAAGGCAAGCGCTCTACCACTGAGCCACCTTCCCCACCCCAAAATGAATATTCTAATCATCCATGAAGCATCTGCTGTAGTCAGATGTGGAGCTTAGAATCCATCTAGAAGGAAGGAGACCATAAAAGCAAGGTAACTTCCAAAGCATGGAGCACAAAGGACTCATGCTTCAAGAAGGAGAAGTAGATAGAGTGTCTCCACATCTGAGTACTCTTTCTGTGCCAGTACTGGGGCTTTAACTTGGGGCCTTGTGCTTTTCTTTAGTTTCAAAAGTATCATGAGAGTGCCAGATTTGAGTGTTTACTTCTATCACTTGAGCCACATCTTCACTTTCAGCTCTTTGCTGGAGTCTCTCAAGACTTTTCTGCCTGGGTTGGCTTCAAACCCTGATCCGCAGATCTCAGCCTCCTGAGTAGCTAAGATTACAGGTGTAGCCACCAGTTGGTTGTGGCAGACACAAGCTCTGGCACCCTCATTGCCCCTAGAAAGGCACACTGCTTCTTAAGGAACAACAGGGAAAAGCTTGGGCAGAAAAGCCTACACATGGACTTCGAGTTTGGACTGGTGAGCGTTTGCTGAACACTGCATTAAAAACCCACTGGGCCCTGTCTGCCTCTGCAGAATCGTCCAAGAAAATATGGAGGTGGCCTCCTCCCCTGACAGAGCCTTCTTGGGGTGCTGCACTCCAGGCCTTGCTATGATGTGTGGACATCACCCATTCCTTTAGCACAATCACACGATTACTGAGTTCTAGAAAATTCTGGCTTACTGACAGGTGTGTGAGCTCTTTTAAAAACCAATGTTTCTATAGGGACTTTTTAATCCCAGGTTCTAAACAGCCACCTTAAGGAGTGACTGAAAACCCAACACCGGTGAACAGTGATTCTCAGACCCGTGAAGGGAAGAAGCTGGTTTAGGGGAGGCCTGAGAGCACGAGGCCCTTTATCCATTCACGTGCCACACCCCGGGTCCACTGGTTTAAGTCTTGTTAGCATGGATCAGCCTGCTCATTTTCCATCCCACATCACTGTCCATTCAGTCGTGAGCGACAGATGGAGAGACAGGCAGCATCTGTATCCCTGTACACAGGTGGGCACTGAAGACACCACTGGCCTACTCATAGGGCTGGTCACTCACCATGTGTGAGCTCTGGGCAGTTTTTCAGGACTGCCCCACTGCTCTATTGTAAACAGCTGAGGTCCATTGGAACCTGAACAGAAGAGAAAAAGACCCGTCATCAAGGCTATGGTGGGGGACAACACTGCGATGAGAATTGCTGAAGGGGAAAGGACTGGCGGCCAGGACTATCAGGGCAGTCTGGGGGGGGGACACCAGGTTGGCATAGATTCTACTTGCCTGGGAGTTGGAACCTAACCAGGTCGCAACATCTACAAGATCTGCAAGTGCAGATGCTGCACCCTCTCTTTTGTTTCAGTCCTTTAAAGTCTGTTTATAAATGCTACCTACAAACGTAGCATTTGTGCTGGTCCTGGGGCTTGAACCCAGGGTACAGGTGTTCTCTCTTACAAGGCTGGTGCTCTACCACTTGAGCCACAGCTCATCTCCAGCTTTTTGCTAGCTCATTGGAAATAAAGAGTCTCATGGACTTTCCTGCCTAGGCTAGCTTCACATTGTGATCATGAGATTGCAGCCTTCTGAGTAGCTAGAATTACAGGTGTGAGCCACTGGCATCCAGCAATACAGCTCTACAAGATACATGCAAATCTTAACTAAAAGAAGGAGAGAGACACCTTAAATTGTCCTTTTTCAAGGTGCCACATCCCTGGAGGAAGATGGACCCTGTGTGAGGTTCCCGGTATCACACCACACCCATGTCAGCTCTCAAGAGTCCCCCAAGAACTCCTGGCTAGGTCTTTGCAGGAGAAGGGAGTTAGAGGCATGCTGCTCACCATAAAGTTCGGCAAATCCATTCATGGGGACTCGAGAGGTCCCTGTGACAAACTGTAGTAGCCGGATCCGCTTCTCAGCATCCATCAGCAGCACAGCCTGTGAGTGGAGATAGAGGTGGTTATGTCCCCACGCGACACACAGCACAGCACAGGCTGTTGGAACGCATCTCACTTAGATTACCCCGTAAGACCTAGCTATCTAGACAGTTGACTCTGACTTCTATTTTTTTTTTTAATTTTAACAGTCACAATCCCAGCCTCTAATCTTAGCAAGGGGATGATCACCCCAGTCTTTCTTCTTGTGCCAATTGGCCAAAATAAGTGATATAAAAAGCAAACTCTCTGATGGCTTCAAGCTCAGGTTTCTGTGTCTGAGGTCAGCCAGCCTCCTAAGTCAGTCATAATTATGTGGTGTTCCAGAAGTGTCTACGCCAGGGGAACCAAGATGAGATGGGGCTTCAGACATAGACAAGGCCTCTAAAGACAACATCTTAGAAAAAGAAGGAAATTTGAGGCAAATTGGGACTCTAAGACAATCTTATAGCTTTGAATTATTATAGGAATTGAGTTGATTTTATTGCAACTGTTATGTGAACTATAAAAAAATTCCAAAATCAAAGCTAAGTGAGACATGATCTAGGACTTTCTCCTGTGCTTGTGTTGAGACTTAAATATGAATGCCATCTATTTGGAGACTAAGTCCAGTTAGATGATTTCTTTGTACATCAATAATATGCAGAGGGATATGTGTGTGTGTGTGTGTGTGTATGGTACTAAGGTTTGAACTACAGGCCTTGTGCTTGCTAGGCAGGCACTGGGTCCCGAGCTGTTTCTTCAGCCACCTTCTTTATTTTTCAGATAGGGGCTCTTGTTTTTTCCCAGGGCCATCCTGGCACTGTGATCCTCCTGTGATCCCTCTCCCAGATCTGGGATGACAGAGGCACATTACTTTTGCCTGGCCTATTTGTTGAGATGGGGCCTCACTACCTTTTTGCCTGAGCTGATCTTGAATTGCACTCCTTCTGATCTCTGTCTCTTGTATAACTGGGATTATGGCTATGAGCAACCATACCTGGTGGAGGTAAACTTTTTTTTTTTAAGTTAGTTAACCATCTCTTTCCTTAGACGAACTATTTCCTAGATTGCTTCCTTCCTTAGGATACACTTACCTAAGACGGTAAACTAAATTTCCACTGCATCTTTGGTTAAGAGATATAAAGCTCAAAATGGTTTTTGGATTAGTTAATAATAACAACAACAAAAAAAAAGAGCTGAGAAAGTTATTTCTTCACAGAAATGGCATCATGAAAAAGTCAGCCCAGCAAGTATAAAGATGATGCCTTGCGCAAGTTCTAGTTCTGATTTCCACCGTGGAGGCTCAGGTCCTGCGTGCCGCCAACCGGCCAGCTCTTTATCAGAATCACCTCACTCAACAAAACTCCCTTTCACTAGTGGTCATGGAAGGACTTTGAAGTGCTTTTGAAGAGATCAACCTCTCTTCAGTCTTGCTGTACATGAAGTTAGGGAGAGGCTCAGTCTGCTGCTTTCCTCTCCCACAGTGCAAGTACTAAGACACCCCAGTTTCCAGGACTGGTTTCACTGTGGACCCCTGCCTAGCTCAGGGAGGAACCTGGCGCAGGCTCTGGGTCTGGGTTACCTTCCAGAACCACTGGATCACGGGGTGATTTGGGCAGTAGCCGTTCTTGTATATAGAATGCTGTCTCCAATCGTTCACGTCCACGTCTCCAAGGCCACACATCAGCAACTGTTGAGGAAGTTGGGAAGACAGAAATGGAGTGGGATGTGCAAAGTGAAGAAACCCTTGGAGAAATTACCCTTCCTTAGTGCTAGACAAAGGAAGAAAGCCAGGTGGACCTGGGATCTAAACTTTCCTGCCCAGTACTACTGCCTCATAGAGACTGCACAGGTTTCTGAGGGCAGTTCAGTTCCTAACCCTCATACACGGCTGCACCATTTTGTACCGGAAGACATCGGTCACTTTCCCCAACTCCCCTTGTACCCGAAGAGCATTATGTACATCATGCTGACTGCTGATCATATAGCAGAATCCTTGCAACTCTCTACCCACAAGAGAATCAGCACTAAAGACAGCAAGAACTAATCTCCCCAGACCAGTCAATTCAAGTGTCAACCAATCACTTCATCCATCCAGAGCCACATCCGTCCAGACAGCACTAAGGCAGTAACTAATCCTTTGACTTTGCTTTTCTTATCCTATAACTCTCCATCAAGGAAGTTCCCTGAAGATTAACCAGTATGATATTCCTGCAGAGGGACTAGAGTAAAACTGCAAAGGAGCTGCACCCCAAGCAACTGGGACCAACTTATGATATCATTTACTTCTCCCTGCCTCAGTGACTCTATCTGCAAAACACAGAGCTCGCAGTGATTTCTACTACCTCATTTATCTTGAAGCACCAAACATCTATCTATGAGCAGAGCTTTGTTGGATGTGGTTTGGACAAATGATGGAGGACCATCACCTTTGTAGATAGACATAACCGCCTTCCTTCTCCTGTGTCTCTCAATATGACAAAGGGAGAGGTATCTCTTTGGTTTTCAAGTAGTTCTCTTTCCATACAGTCATGAAGAAGCTATGCTAGATAATCATTGAATGGCCTTCTGGTACTATTACCTGGGAGCCTTTTTGTTGTTGTTGTTGTCGTGGGGCCTGGGTGCTGTCCCTCAGCTCTTCAGCTCAAGGCTAGCACTCTACCACTTGAGCCACAGCACCACTTGCAGCTTTTTCTGCTTATGTGGAGCTGAGGAGTGGAACTCAGGGCCTCATACAGGCAAGGCAAGCACTCCAACACTGAGCCACCTTCCCAGCCCCGCCAGGAGCCTTTTGATGTTTTCCCTTATCAAATATAAACTGCTTTGAGTTCAAGGACACATCTGTTCTACAGCCCCTAACAGAGACAACTCCTCCGTGGTGGGGCTGGGGAAGCCATGAAGGACAGGAAGCCAGCAGTTCTTACAAGTAGCATGCTGCTCTCCTAGAGGGCTGCTGTACACCTACACTCCACCTGACATAGCCATCTTCCTCTAGCTGCACAGGGCCATGACCTGACTTGGCTTAGCAGGTCTGTTCCATAGCAGCCCCCTTACCAGCAAGAAAATGGGGGGGTTGATCCTTTTGCTATCAGAGAGCAAGGCTCATGCCAGACTAGAGAACGTTACAATATCATTTGCAAGGGAATAAGAGAAACTTTAAAAAATCTTCTTTTTGTAAAAACAGAAACAAAAATTATAATACAAACCTCCAGCTCATTTTCATCAAAAATTTTAATCAAGTCGATAGGAAGCAGTTCTGTGAATCCCTGAAAGGAGGAGAAGAGAATCATTATGAATATTTTTATCTTGGAAGAGGTCAAAAGTTGCAGCCTCTCTACCAGAAAAAGAAAAAAACCCAAACCCAAAAAAATCCCCATCTTTTCCTGGTGACTCATGCACTGGTGACAGTAACAAGTAACCACAGCTCCAATAAAAACAGCAGAGTCACAATACAAAGAACTTAAAAAAAAATCAGAGAATGTAGCAGGTGTGAGTACCTGAGCAGTTTTGGAAACGCTAGGGTAATATGGGATGGGGTAGGCAGGTGAATTACAAAAGCCATCCATGACACACCGCTGAGTCAGTGCGTACTAAAATGCAAGGCCACAGATGTGCAAAAGACAGGTTTAAAAATAATGTGTTGAAGGCACAGAGGAGGAGGCGTGAGCCAGTGAGAGGGAATGGGGGAACAGCCAGTCGGACTCTGTCAAGGGGCTGTCACTAACAAGGGAGCCACCCAGGATGAAGGAGGAGGTTCACAGTGCCGGTGATCTGAAGTCAGGTTCCTGAAAGTGAGGACTGCTAGGGGCCAGGGCTATCACTCCTGTAGTTTCCCATCTAAGTAAGGCATGGAATATGTTCTCAGATTATCTGTCCCTTTGCCCTGCTTGGCTGAGGCTTTTCTTTATTGAGTAGCTCAGTGAGCTACAGGTCAGCTTAAGAGCATCTATGCACAGTTCACCACAAGTAAACAATGTGGGGTTGAGACCTTTATCAGTTATTTTTCACATGACCAGAATTTGTTTTGCTTTGTGTATGGGCTGATCCTGGGGCTTAAACTCAGGGGCTTGCACTGTTGCTTAGCTTTCTTTTTCCTCTCGAGGCTGGCACATTTTCCCTTAAGCCACACCCCTCACTTCCTGTCTTTTACTAGTTAATTGGAGAAAAGTGTTTCTCAGATTTGCCTCCTTGGGATGGCTTCAAACCTCAGTCCTCAGAGCTCAGCCTCCTGAGTAGTTAGGATTACAGGCATGGGCCATCAACTCCCAGCTTAAGATCAGATTCTAAAAGGAATTTCAATGCTGGGCAACGCGAAGCATTGTTTAGAAGTGCCAGACCTCTATGGGAATCAGAAGGGACCTAAGAAAATGCCTCAGTGGGAACATGAGTCCTGTCCCTGGCGGGGAACAGGTGCATGTGGGAGGAGCCTGCTTCACTCCTCCACAAAGGGAATGCACACTGAACACAAAATCAGTGCCTTCCATGGAGCTATGCTGGAGAGCTTTGGGGCAGCGGTGCACAAAAAGAGTAAGCCCCTTGCTGGGTGCTGGTGTTTCAGGCCTATAATCCTTGCTACTCAGGAGGCAGAGATCTGAGGACTGCAGTTGGATGCCAACCTGGACAGACACATTCAAGAGACTGATCTCAATTAGCCAGCAAATGGTCAGAATTGGAGGTGTGTGATAAGAACACTAGCCTGGCGTGAAAAACCTAAAGGAGAGTATGAGGCCCTGAGTCAAGCCCCAGGACCAGTATTACCTCCTCCTCCTTGCCCCCCCCCCCAAGATGCTCAGCTCTAGATGGCCCCTAGATAAAGTGTGTAAAATCCTCAGTAAGAATAGTCAAGGCAAATTTTAAAATGAGAGGAGCAAAGCAACAGATTGCTTAAAAAATGGCCGTGTGTCAGCCAACCTGATCCTTGAGAGCGGTGGAGAATGACACCTGGACGGTGCTGGCATTCGCCCGGTGTCCCCACTACCACCCTGTCCTCTCCAGCGTCCCTCACCTCCAGGAAGGCATTCATTTGCTTCTGGACCCGGTTCACAAATCTCCACTGGATGACGAGGCTGTGGGAGAAAACAGAGCGTCATAACCACCTCAGAGCCCGGCCTGCACCGCCCTCCTCAGAACTGGGACTGCTGCTCACAGGGAAGGGGAGGGAAGGGAGAGACACCCCCACAACCAGACCAGAGGTGGGCCTACTGCTGTGCCCACTGCTGCTCCACAAACCCTTCATGAATTCTCACTGGAGCACTATGGGAAAGAAAGCTCCAGTCTCACCAAGCTCTCAAGAGCAGAAGTGATCTCCTGGCCTCAACAAGCACAGATGACTGTGCTTTATAGCCATCACTTCAGGAAGATAAGAGAAAAGGTCCTGGGGTTGAATACACAAGTGGTGTGCATGATATAGGCGTGACTCACACACCCACATGGATGTATACCAACGTACGAGCATCCTCCACACTGTGAATTAGTTGCACTAAGGCTGGTTTTGTTTCTGGTGCTGGTACTGGGGCTTGAACTTAGGACCAGGGTACTATCCCATAGCATTTTTCTCAAGCACTCTACCCTTTCAGCCACACCTCCACTTCTAGCTTTTTGGTGGCTAACTGGAGATAAGAGTCTCATGGACTTTCCTGCCCAGGCTGGCTTCAAACCATGATCCTCAGATCTCTGCCTCCTGAGTAGCTAGGGTTACAGGCGTGAGCCTCTGGTACCCAGCTGCACACTAATACTTTTAAGATTCCAATACTTTATTTTTTATTTTTTTTATTGTGAAAATACTGTACAGAGGGGTTACAATTACATGGGCAAGATAATGAGTACATTTCTTATCAAGCATTGTAGCCTCCTCCTTTGTTTCCCCTTTCCATCTCTTCCCATCCTCCCCCTGCCCCCAAGATTCCAATACTTCAAAGAATGAACAGGAACTATTTTCAGATTCACTGAAACTATTTTCCTGGTGGCAGTATTTCGTGCAGAGCATAAACAATTACAGGGGGAGTCCACTCTGGATTGCATCTACGTGTTTTGTTTTGACCCCACAAGGATCACACACTTCCTAGGTGGTGCCATGACATCAGCTGGAGAAGAGCAACTCCCCCCCCCCCCTTATCCTCTCCCCAGTGCCGGCGGTTCTTCAGGGCTGGACTGTAGTCATCTGCCCAATCCTGTTCTGGTACCAGAAGGGGCAGTGAACAGTGGAAAATTTCAATCACGGTTTTCTCAGCAAAGCTAACTAAAACCTTGCTTGGCCCTAATCCCCAATGAATTTGAATCTTAAAATAATTAGTCGCAAAGGGTAATGCATAACACCTGTTGCATATGTTAAATCCTCCCGGCCTGAGATGCCAGAGGGTTTTAAAAAACTGTTCACTGCTCACACTTTCACCAGAACCCAAGGTCAAACCAAGTGTACCAATTAGTGTGTGCAGGTAGGCACTGGACTATCTAACTTCTAGTTTCTTCTTAGTGGAAAGATCTTCGGTCATAGCTCTACTCTCGTCTAGGGGTGTCTCTCCAGGGAGAGACTACAATGCTTGCAATTTCCTCGTAATGAGGATGGACAGTAGGCTCTTCTTTGAAGATCACTTAAAAGGGGCTGAGACACCCGGCAGTTCTCTGAATTCAAGCCCTCTGACCCCTTCCAAACGAGAAGGAGGGGACCCAGCTTGTTGAAATGGAGAGCTGAAAGTAAATGTGCTCAGGCAGTGCTGAAACCCACTGCTGCGCAGAATCCTGGACGCAGGAACCAAATCCTGCTGTGCTGACCTCATCCTGGACATCCTGGTGAGATGAGAGAGCAGCAGAAGTCCGTACCAGAGCCCAGTGCCATGTTTAAACCAAATAAAGAGATCAAGAACGGTGTCTGTGGCTCATGCCTCTAATTCTAGCTACTCAGGAGGATTGTGGTTTGAAGCCAGCTGAGGCAGAGAAGTCTGAGATGCTCACCTCCCATTAGCCAGAAAAAAGCCAAAGTGAAGGAGGTGTGGTTTAAGAGGTAGTCAGCGTTAAGTGGAAATTTGGGCAAAAGCTCAAGCTCCAGTAGGAAAAAAAAATACAATGTACTTCATCAAGAAAGAAGACCTAGGCTTACTTAAAAGTTCAGGTTTTCATCAAGACTCAACATTTTTTCCACCAAATAGAGGAGACTGGATTAATAAAATTACAAATATCAGCTGGGTGCTGGTGGTTCAGGCCTGTAGTCTTAGCTACTCGGATGGTTGAATTCTGAGGATTGTGCTTCAAAACCAGCCAGTGCAGAAAAGTTTGTCAGACTTTGATCTCCAATTACCTAGCAAAAAGCCAGAAGGAGAGCTGTGGCTCAAGTAGTAGAGCACCAGCCTAAGAGAAAGCACAAGGCTCTGAGTTTAAGTCTAGTACCAGCACATGTGTGCACACGCACACGCACACGCACATGCACACACACACACAACAAATAGCAAAAGCAATTCATTGTTTTTGCTCATACTGAGTTCTTCCTAAATATTTTCCTAGTTTTTCACTGTGGAGACAAAATACTTCGTCTCTGATAGTTCCTAGATTTTCCACACTGATGACTGATGCTTTGTACCCCTGGAGTGATTTTAAACATTTGATGGGCACCTGTATACTGCCCAGAAAAAATTGCTGTGTTACTCAGTAATGTGCATTTTATCACCTACCTCTGCAGCTCTATTGGGTAGCTCACTGACATCAGGAAACCAGGTTAACTTTCCACCCAAATTCAACTTTCCAGTAACCTAAACCTAAAAGTAACCCCTCATACTGAAAACCGACCAATCAGCTCATGCCACAGAATGCATGCATCGTTTGGTATGGGATGCGAATCAAGTATATTGTCTGTTATTAGATGAAAAAAGGTTGTAAATATTAGTGTACGTACTCAATATATTCCCTTTTGTTTTCATTTGTCACCATTATTTCTGACCCATTGGGCTTCAGATCCACTTGATATGTCTGTAATTACAAAAAGAAAAAAAAATCACCCACATAAAGTTATTTTGCATATTGACTCATCTCACCATAAAAGGCAAGCAAAATTTATTTAAAACTATTTTCCAACAAATGGCAATATGTACCTGCAAATGTCTAATGAGGCTTTTAAACTGTTAAGATGTTACACATTTAAAGATGCTACCGTTAGAGGCAGATTATTTTTGGCTATTTGTGTGTTTTAATTGTTACTCCTCATACATCAGGATGAATGGAAGACAGCCTCATGTTTCATCCACTCTTCATTGATCAAGAAATCGAATATATTTAACAGAGAAAAGAGCAGAGGACATCCATCAAGACTACGGAGATCTAAACCTAATGCATCTTGTTACTGAAAACAGAAATTTATAGCTGTGAAAAATGATGCATGTGATTTGTTTCTAAGAGGCAACATACAGGACGTACAAACAAACAAGATTTGAAAGCCAGGCATAAGAGATTTATTTGTTAGTGGCAGGTCTTTCTGCTTTCTACATGTCAGCAACCCTTGATCATGAAGGGAGGCTGCTAGGCCCAATTCCCTACTTTCTTCTTTGTGCCAGGACCTAGCTTAATACTATTATACATAAAACAATAACTAGCACATGGAAAAAATGCTTATTCTCACTGTAGAAATTCTGAAGAAAAAAATAAAAGAGGAACAAACCAGAGGTATAGGAAAATGTGTCCCTACACTCTGAGAGACAGCCATGAGGACATTTTGGTTGACTCCTGGTGGTCTTGTCCACATTCTAGGCTGTATTACAGAGCCAAACCTGTGGGGAAGGATTTCCAGATGAATTATTGGGAGCTCTATCCAAAACAACTGTTTTAGACCCCTTTCTGCATCTGCTCTGGTACAGCTTGGCCAACAGTCCTGCAGAGAGCTGCAGGAAGCAAGTGGCTTAGGGCGGGTATGCTGCCAATACTTACATTATGGGTCCAACAACTGTATTTGGGTGCCTAATATGTGCCAGGTCCTATGGTACTGTCACCCAGATGAAGCGTGAGGGAGACACATTAAGCATGTACTGAGATAATTATAAACAAAGGCTGCTGTGGAATATGCCACTTGGAAGCATAGGGTCTGTGTGGTCATGGGCTGGTTTTCTAGAGAAAGCAGGAAAGAATATCTTCCCAACAGAATGAAGGGCATGAACAAAGGCCCCGAGGCAGGAAAGAGCTCAGTGAGTTCCAGAAGGCCAAGAAACAGTGCAAGGAGTAGGCAGGCAGGCCTGCGGTATAAAACATGTTTGTTAAAGGTATAGTAGAGTAGGCCAGAGGGGAGCCTCAGGAGATAAACTAGGATCTGTGGCATCTCCTCCAGGAAGCCCCTGAAGGTTTCAGGCACAGAAATGATCATTTTTACCCTCTGGAAAGTTTACTCTGCCATGACAAATGAAAAACCAGTTAAGAGTCTATGAGAGATGATGGTAGCTGTACCTGGGGGTGTAGAACAGGAGAACAGACATGAGACACATCTGTGAGGTTCAATACACAAGGCTCAGGGATGGCCTGAATAGAAGAGTTCCACACATGGCTGCTTCATGTGCATGCTAGCAGAGCAGATACTTGATCATGTGACCATCATGTTCACTCTCTTAAAAGGGAAGGCGATCATTTCACCAATGGAGTACCTCATCTCCCCACTTTTGTCACCGTGGGTATTAATTTCTGTGTGGCTCTCCCTGATACTCCAAAGTCAGAAGAGTCTACACCAGTAAATGGTTTGGGTATATTTTTCATGAATAATTAGGATGAACTACAATGAAAGGCAGAATTGCCACTGGAAGTCTACTTAAGCTAGGCATGGTGGCTCATGCCCATAATCCTGGCTACTCAGGAAGTTAAGATCAAGAGGTTCAAGGCCAGCTTGGGCAAAAAATCAAAAGACAGCATTTCAACAATAAAAAGTTGAGCACAGTAATATACACCTACTTTCCCAGCTACATTGTAAGTGGGAGGATGGTTGTCCCTGAAGGCCCAGATAAAAGCAAGATACTATCTGAAAACAAAAAGGGATCAGGGTATGGCTCAAGTGGTAGAGCACCTGCCTAAACAAGCATGAGGCCCTAAGTTCAAACTCCAGTATCACCAAAAACAAACAAACAAACAAACAAAAAACCACACACACCAGACCAACCTACCCATGACCACAGCACCATAACAGAAGGAAAAGCCCCAATGTGCCTGGGAATATTAGCATTGTGGTCATGTGATGTCAATGCTGTTGCCCGAGTTTCTGAAGACCCTCAATTCTACAACCAAGTCACCACATCTAGGTTGGGTCTAGAGGACTGCTAGGTCTCACCAGCCTGTAATACTTCCTAACTTTACATCTAGTTGTCCAGGGTCTCCTTGCTGAGAAGATTTCTCCAGCCTAATTTCTCTAACCTAAGATTAAGCTGCAAATGCACTTTTCAATAGGGGAATATACTCCTTTGGAGCAGTAAAGGGTAAGTCTAGTGCATTTTTCTATATGGCAACCCTTAATACAGGCTTTAAGACCTAATTAATTTCAAGTGTATGTGGATTTGGTCTTAGTGATGGGAAATATCTGGTGCTTTGGTGCAAAGACCAAAGAGAAAACCAAAATCCAAGAGAAAACAAAACAAAACAAAAAAAACCAAACCAAACCAAAACAAAAAACCAAGAGAAACAGCAACTTCTGGGTACCTTCCAAGAAGAATTGTGACTAGGGCAATCTGAGACTTAGGCAAATACTTTTGGACCCTCAGGATGCTGATGAAAACCCAGCAGGCAATGTTAGCGTGGAAATTGACTTTTATGCTGAATCCAGACTGAATGGAGGTGGTAAGGGCAGAGGTAAGAGTGTAACTAAAGCAAGAAGGATGACAGAAAAAAAAAACCAAACAAACATAAAAACCATGCACATCAGACCAGCATGCCCATGACCACAGCACCATCACAGAAGGAAAAGCCCCGATGTGCCTGGAAATATTAGCATTGTGGTCACGTGTTGACAATGCTAATCGACTATCGCCCTAGTTTCTGAAGTACCTCAGTTCTGAAGTACCTCAAACACATCACCACATCCAGGTTGGTTTGGGTCTAGAGGAATGCTAGGTCTCACCAGCCTGGAATATGTCCTAAAGTGGCTGGGAGAGAGGAACAGGATGCCACTGAGACTTGGCTTTTTGGCATGACAATTAGGTGCGGCTACCATGAACTGACAATGACAGCAATCCCTGCCCCTATTCCAGGGACCTTGTGATAGGTGAAAATCCATGCGGTAGCAGTGTTATATTCATTTTATTATTTATATATATTGCAAGGTTTTACAAACCTTTCCCACTCTCTTATAAACCTCTCCTAGTCTCTTATTTACCTTAATTAACATTTTTGCATTCTAAATTTTTTAGGCAAAAACAATTAAAATCATAATTATATAAATACCTATATGCTGCAAAATCCCGTGATACAGTGAAAACTTTGTGATACAGAATCAGATATTTGTGTGTGTTTTTAAAATGCCATACAGTAAAGCTGCAATAAGTGAACCTCAATATAGTGAGGGACGACTGTATTATCAAAAGCTCCCATAACCTGGGTGCCGGTGGCTCACACCTGTAATCCTAGCTACGCAGGAGACTGAGATCTGAGGCTTGCTGTTCAAAGCCAGCCCGGGCAGGAAAGTCTGTGAGACTCTTATCTCCAATAAACCACTTGAAAACCAGAAGTGGTGTTGTGGCTCAAGCGGTAGAGCGCTCTCCTTGAGCTGAAGAGCGCAGGAACAGTGCCCAGGCCCAGAATTCAAGCTCCACGACCGACCAAAAAAAAAAAAAGCTCCCATAGCTGTTTCTAATTGTCCAGGACAACTGTACCACAATCTACGGGAAAGAAAAGGCTCTTTGAAAGTCGAAGAACTCTAGGGGCTGGCTACACATACCTGCCCAAAGTTCTCTTCATCTATGCAGAACATGAGGTCCAGTTCAGTAGGATCGTTTTCTAAGATCCACTTCAAAGAGTTGTAGTATTCACTGTCCTATGGGAATGACACAGAAAGCAACGTTAAGCATTCATCCCAAATGCCAACTTGTTTGCCTCTTAAATAGTGAAGTCCTTCTAACATAATTCCACACAGAACGCTCCAGGATTACATTACTCATGATGGTTACTGCTCTATTCCAATCCCCCTCATCCTTTCTAGGAGTCCCTGGAGTGACAGGATTTGTGTATGTGTGTATGTGGGGGGGGAGGGGTCTCTTGGTCTGTGAAGTGTGGTGGAATACCCTTTATGTGGAGAGTGGTCAGGGCTGGCTGACTGTCCAGTCTACAGAACTTAACACACACTGACCAGCAGACTTTTCCCACAGGGAAGACTGAGAATACACAGGAAAATGGGATGGATAGAGGGCATTCAAGTCACACTGGCAGCTTTAAGTTTCCTGTACTCTCATTGCTCTTTGCCCGTTAACCTAAACACTTAAGATACTGTTTCAGTTCCAGAAATCAGGGAAGGAGACATGGGGACATATGCAAGCGACTCTTTGCTTAGACCCAGGGTCTCTGCTGCCGGGAACATGACAGACTCTAGAAAGGACAAAACAAAAAACAAAAAAACCCACATGCTGTATTTAAAACACTGTCAATAGCTGTCATAAAATTAGCCTTTAAGCTGAGTGCCAGTGGCTCATGCCTGAAACCCTAGCAACTCAGGAGGCTGAGATCTGAGAATCACAATTTAAAGCTAGCTTCCATGGCAAAGCCCGTGAGACTTTATCTCCAATTAATCATCAAAAATCTCCAATTAATAAAAAAAAAAAGTGGCTCAAGTGGTAGAATGCTATCACCGAGCAAAAAAAGCTCAAGGGCAGGGCCTAGGCCCTGAGTTTCACAAGCCCTAGGACCGGCACACACACAAAAAATTAGACCTGAAGAGTAATTTCTAGAGCTGCATGGGGTGACACACACCTGTAATCCCAGTGCTCAGGAGGCTGAGACAGGAAGGTTGCAAGTTGGAGGCCAGCTTGGGATACATAGCAAGACTCGGTCTCAAAATTAAACAACAAAAAACCACAACAAAAAGCGATTTCTATCCTCCTTACTGAATTACAACACAGCAATAAAAGCCGGGATAATACACAAAGGAGGAACACTGGAAAGTGAGGCTGGCACCAAGGCTGGGGTCACCAGGCCTGCCACAACTGCCCACAGAACGGTCTCTGAGGAGCACTGCCGGCCATCTCTCCTTTCCTACCAGGATGAGCAGAAAGAACATATCAATGTTGGGCGGTGCCGAGGACCTGGCTCATACATCCAGGCATTCACAACACTGTCCACATACCAGCAAGGACAAGAGATGCCCAGAGCTTTCTGGCTTATGCGGCAGAACTTGAAGCAGAGTTACAAACTGCCCAGGTGGACAAGGATGTTTCTGATGGCCCCGTGGGTGTGTGACCACACAAGGCGACACCCGCACACCTGGAGGATGATGGTGGAGTACACGAATATTAAAAAAATCAGACGCGCAAGTATCTTGTGGAAGGAAGGCCAAGATTTGTATGTGTCTGTGTAGAAAATCCCTTCTAGGAAGTGACGCTGTGGTTCAAAGTGGTAGAGCGCTAGCCTTGAGCACAAGCGCTCAGGGTTAGCACCCAGGCTCTGAGTTCAAGCCCCACAGCTGACTCCCTCCCCACAGCTTCAGCTAAAACACAACAAGAAAATCCTTTCTACGTGACTGTGGGTCCGTCCAGGTAAAACACTGACAGCAGGGTGACAGGAACATCCAGCATTGCTGTTTGGAGGGGTTCTTAGCATTCCCCCTTTCTGACTCTTGTTCTGAAGTGGTCATTTGCTTCTGCACATCTGCATGTTTAGTGGTGTTCCTCCTTTTGTTTTGACCTTGCCTCTACCATTTTTACGAGGTTAGAAACAAGAAGGATAGTGGATGAATCTCTAAATGTTCAGTATCAATGGTTTGGGGTGGCAAGTCCAGGCTACAGCAAGGTTTCTAGATGTCTGTTGGTTTTCATTTGTTCATTCAAGTCTTGGTAGGGTAAACAGAGGTAAAAGATTTGGGAGTGTCTACTCTAATAATGCTAGGAAACAAACAATACTTTATTATCTAAATTAGAAAGATCAAGCACTTCCATAAATATTTAAATCCTCTCCGTTCACACCGAATGACAACACACAACACCCACAACCAGAGCTGGGTTTGCAAAGGCGTCTATCAGTGCCTGTCCATCAGGCATCATGAAGCTCTGTATCTACTTACCACAGACTCCATGTCATTCAGAGTTATTTGCTTTCCCAGCATCATCTTGTAAAACGGTCGAATGAAGAAACCTAAAATATGGCAGAAACTGGGTTAAGTTTCAAGTGTTTGACACTGCTGTGTACCAGAGCATGAAATAAAAGACCAACCTCCTTTCAAGCACAAACCAGACACGAGGACACACTAGTCAAGGCCTTTCTAGAATAATTGACTGATGAGGTAGAGGTAGAGATGAGGTAGAGGTAGAGGTGCACCTAGGAAGGGCAGAGCAGGAGGGACAGTGGCTATACCAACAGATGTGTCAGCAGGAGGTCAGGACAGAGAAAGGCTGAGAGGCTAGAGAGAAGGGGGTGGGGAGCGATCCAAATGCCATCACTGGAAAGGCCTGGGGTGAAAACACAGGCAGGCCAATGAGAGCGGCCTCTGCTCAGGGCCACACAGCCTCCCAGGCGGAGGCCTGGGTCTCAAGGAGACAATGGCAACCAGGAATCTCTCCTGAGGCAGGTGTCCCATGGCAGGGACCTCCACTTCTCCTCCTCCAAAAGAAAGTGGCATCACATAACTCCAGAGCAGCAGATACACAGACTTCCAGGTAAGAGGATGAAGTGGGCCACGGGGCATAGATTAGCAACGTATGCACTGTCATTTGTGTTTTAAAACAATTAGCTCATATTAGTTATAGGGAGGGGGAATTGATCGTTACATCTCTATACACTTACAATGTACGCCAATCAGTCTCTCCCCCTCCATCACATTCCCCGTCCCTCTCCCCCAAGGCAATCATGTTTTCAGGAAATGGACTGGATGATGACTAGTCTGGGGGTATAGTACACCCTGACAATTCCTGACATGTACTATGACCCCCTCCAACCTCCCCTATCCCTCCCCCCCCAGCCACCCCCCCCCGCGCCTTGGTGAGGAATACTCAATTGCTTCTTAGGTTTCTCTCCCTTTATTTTTCCCTTCACTGACAGCCACTAGTGCCCCGCCCTCACAACTCCTGAGCCTCTGAGTGAAACTGACTCCATGGGATCCCTGCCATTGCTGAGATTTTTTTTCCCCACTAAAACAGGAGGTCACTGACGTCAGCATCACAGCTCACACTTCTCTGCATTCTCTTACAGCAGCTAACAGTGGCTCCTCACCCAGCAGAAGGTGAACACACAGACCCTCTAAGAAGGCAGAGGTGACCTGAACAGGGAGACATCACCCCAGGCAGGACCCCAAGGCTGCAGGTGCACTGTGTGCACACAGACAGACCAAGACAGAAAACATCTGTTGTACAGATAAATGGACCGAGGGAGAGAGGGGGACAGACAGAAGCAAGGACTCTATACACAGAGTCAGAAAGAAGCATGCACTGCACACAGGCACAGGTAGTGAGATGTCACAGAGAAATGTCTCGTGTGCATGGTCAGAGTTAGAGAGGCATTGAAGGGTGAGAGAATGCAGTCATAACCGTCAATGTGCAAATGATGGGATGGGTGTGGTTGGGAGATGAGGGTGACAACGATCAAGATGAATTGCATTCAAACTCACATGCTGAGCTGAAACCCCTTTGAAAACTTAAAGATAATAATAAAAAAGGAAAAAACCTCTATCGACTGTATATGCAAATAGTGAGAGGTCAGAGGAGCACCTACTGCATACCCACAGGACAGAGTGTCAAAAAGAAGGCCTATGACGTACACAGAGGCCCAGAAAGAGGCTCAGTTTATACTCAGGGACAGAGAATCCGAGAGAAGTGTCTACCTCCCTTTGCTGCAAACTAAAATACTGATCAGGGCACCGAAATCACCAATTAAGAGTAAAAATATACTAAAGGCAAATGTACAGAGGGTATATCAATTATTTATTGGAATAGCTCTGGCTCTATAAAATGCAATTAACATAATTGCTATGGAAACTGGCTCTCTCCACAGTTACTGAAATGTCAGTCTCTAATTTTACTACTTTTCATCTTTAACCATTCTAAACTCAAGTTCTTAAAAAAAAAACAAACCCTCAGGACTTTTTTTTTCTCAATGATGATTTATTTTTTAGAGCTCTCTTATTCTTATGGACACGACTTGTGAAACACCCAAGTCCGTAACAAATCTGCACAACAAGCTTTGCTTGCTACAGCAGGGAGGGGGGCTTGATTTCTAACTCTTCCAGCCTTGAAATGGGTCTGCCATTTGTATGCTCTAAATAAGAATGAAGTTATTTTGTGCCATCCATTTCAGCTGGCACTCCAGGGTTATGGTCTTAGCTGAGTTACAACATTACTTTGAAATTATTTGGTCTTTTCACATTAGAAAATAATTTGGGGCCAAATGGAACAATGGCTGGATCATGATGGGATTAGATCATTTTAATTAACTTTTCAATTAGCTTTTCCATCTGTCACTAAATCTAAAGGAAAGTAGCTCTGAAAAACACAGTGCACACACACCAAAAAACCCACTATGTTCTGAGCTTTACATTTAGAAGACAGACAAAGTGTGCACACATTGTCTTCAGTGCCCAAGTGGCTACCAGGAAAAGATAGCCATGATGAATAAAACATAAATAATTTGAAGGCTAGGGATGTAACTCGTGGTATGGTGCTTGACTAGAATGTGCCAACCCTGGGTTCTATTCCCAGAAATGAAACACACATATACACACATACACACACACAAGGTGAACCCTTTTATAATGTATGATATGAAAGAAGAGATGCTTAATATGGAGGCACAAACAATACCATCCTACTTTTGAAAAAAAAAATTTTTAAAAAACTTACCATCTAAGAGTTTCCCATGAAATACTGCCAGACCTGCAACTCTTCCAATGAAAGTAAAATAGGACAAATGATCTTCATTACAGAGGCCTGAATTGGGGTTGATCTGAAGCGTATAGTTGTCCCTTTGAAGGGGAAGTATAAGAGAGAAGAAAAGGCTAATCACTGTTGTGTGTATGTGAAGAAATCCAAGAATCTCAATTTTACTTTGCCACCGAACACTCAATTTTACAGCTGGATGCCTATCCGTGATCTCTAAAAATGTCATTTTTCACATGATGCAGCTAGAAAATTGAGAAGACTTTGATACAGTTCACATAATAAGGGCACTGTGCAGGGATTCTGAGAGATACGAATTCCTTAGATTGTCTCTCTCATAAAAGCGGTGACCTCAGAGGTGTGGGAGGTGTGGGTATAGGCCCAGCTCTCAGAATATCTGATCACTGCTTTCTCCTAGAAAGGTCTCAAGAACACCCAGGGCAGGGTCTGCTGTCAGAAAGGCAAAGCCAGGATGCTGGATGCTCAGTACTACTTCTCTGGCCTCACAAACAAGAGGATCGGTGTCCTTCAAACTGGGCTCCACAGATGATACTTCCAGGAGATATTCCTCCCAGGGAGTAATGTTTGGGAATGGGAATGTGGGTAGGAAGTGAGGATTCTATCTTTTTTTTTTTTTGGTCCGGTTGTGGGGCCTGAACTCTGGGCCTGGGCACTGTCCCTCAGCTCTTCAGCTCAAGGCTAGTGCTCTACCACTTGAACCACAGCACCACTTCCGGCTTTTTTCTTATGTGGTGCTGAGGAATCGAACCCAGGGCCTCAGGCATACAAGGCAAGCGCTCTACCACTGAGCCACCTTCCCAGCCCAGGATTCTATCTCTCTAACCTGCCTTCTACTGATCAGTTTTCTAGAGTGGACTTTCTCAAGGCTTCAGTAACTAACAATAACCATTTGGAGAGCAATATAGGATATTTTCCCAAATGAGCCCCAAGGAGAAGTGCATGAGGCAGAAGCAGCAGGACTGGTATCCTTCACAGCCCAGGATGGAGTGATGTTAAACACTGTTTGCTAGTCCTAGGAGCTCAGGACCAACCTCAAGCCCCCCCCCCCCTTTTTTTGGTGGTAGTACCAGGGCTTGAACTTAGGGCCTAGGCACTGTCCCTTAGCTTTATTGATTAAGGTTGACATTCTATTACTTATGCCATAGCCCTACTGCTGGCTTTTTTTCCCTTGGTGATTAACTGGAGATAAGAGACTCATGGACTTTCTAGCCTTTTGAGTAACACGGAGCCATTGGCACCTGGCTACCTCAAGCTATTAGTAGCTTCAGCCTCCAGAGAAATGAATGTGCATGAAAGTAGCTACTATATGATTTGTGAGAAAGCAATTCAACCTGCCTCAGTTTCCATGCCTGGCAATGGTGATATCCCAATGTTAAGGTTCAGCTTGGTTTTTCCCTTGTAGGAATAGGCATGGGCCTTTGGGTCCTAGACTATTCTTGTTCATATGACTCTTTTTGCTTTGACAGTGACAAATTTCCCTCTTGAATTATTAATGCAATTTTGCAAATGAAAATTGCTTCTGTTCCTTAATGTAATTACCCAACACATTTTCAATTTCAATTCTGGGGACCCAACAGACATGAGCTGAATCAATTTTAGACATCTGCAGAATTCATTACTATACCATGTAGGGTCAGAATCTGGTCTAGACATTTGAGAAGCAATGCGGTGGGAAGGGACTAAAATCAGCAGTGTTGATTCATCTCAAATGGATGGGGCATATGTCCATCTCCTTATTAGGTTTAAATTAATCAAGAGTAAAATAATTGGTGTGGGAGACACGTTCTGAATGTACTTCATATTACTTACGTTGCAGAATACTCGAAGAGACCATAGTAGGGGTTGAACATCTCTTTGGACAGTAAGAAAAACCATTCTCTGGCCACGCCCCCATAGTCTAGACCCTTCTCTGATTCAAATTCAATCCATAGTCTAGCTTTTAGGACATCTGGTCTTTTCACAGACATGATTCTCCGATAAGATTCTTCAAATATGTTATTCCTGTGAAGTTTCATTTCAAATCTATTTGGAATATCCGCCTACATCAAGAAGAAAACACCTCATTGGTCATACAAGTAAATATATACCTGTTTCTCCTCCCCCCTCCTCCCTCCAGGAAAAACAACAAAGGAGGAGTAGAAATGAGGTCAGGCTTCAAACGAAAGAGCAGTGTCAAGTGGTCTAATTGCAATCCTCTCACAGACAGCCTCATGGGGTTAGCATGGGACACAGAGCATAGACTCAGAGCCGCTCAGGTAGTCAGCAACATATGCTGCAGAAGGAAATCTTGGGATGGAGGAAAGCATCCTCTGCTTCTTTAAAACACTGGGGGTTTTTCTCCACTCCTTTCCCCCCAAGTGAAATAGTCAACTCTATGTGTTGTTGAAGTCAAGGAAAAAGACTTCATTTAGCCCAGTCAACAAAAAGCTATGCTCTGTACATCACCTTGATAATCAAAAAAATTCACAATATTTAAAAAGAAAGGAAAAGAAAAAGCTATGAGCAATGCCCCCACTCCCTTCGCCCCAAGGCTGAGACCACTGTCATCTCTGCTATGGACTTGATGATGTGTGCACGTTCATTTTTGTTGTTGGATCCTGATTCTGTCAAGTTTGGGGACAGTACCCCCGAAGTCCATTGGTTCATGGACACAAAAGTAACATGACACTCAACTAAGGCTGTGAGAATGGCCTCCTGTAAGGATGAGGCCCAGGGTGACAGCTACTATCATTGCCTACTACCGGGGACACGCAGATGGCTCATAAAGAAAGCAGGATCTTAGGCGTTCCTGAGACTGAAGGACAGAGCATGTCAGAAGTGTTACTGATGGGGTATCTCAATCAGGACTCGGAAGTGGCGCTGTGGCTCAAGCAGTAGAGCGCTTGCCTTGAGCTGAAGAGCACAGGGACAGCGCCCAAGCCCACAGTTCAAGCCCCATGACCAACCAAAAAAAAAAAGAAAAAAAATTTGAATCAGGACTCTGGGAAGAGAAATACAGGGACAGCAGAACTTCGTCCATAGCTAGGGCTCCCAGTGGGACCAATCATGGGATGATTGAGCAGGAAGAGGGTAATATGCCCCAGGAGCTGGGTGCCAAGCTGTGCTTGACAGTCTCCTTTCCTACAGATGCCACAATGTTGCCAAGCAGGAAGCCAACTTCAATACCAGAAAGAGGGACCAGAAGCCAGAGAAACAACATGGACATACTTGGGTGTGCTGCTAGGGAAAAAATCCCAGTCCTTTAAGCTACAGCACTGCCTAGGGAAACCTAATAGATTTCTTGGTGGTCAGCTGCCAGTGAGAACTGTAACATATTTGGACCTAATATTGACAAGTATTTGGATTACATACTGAATAGTTCCTTTATGTTGGAATATAAAAGTTACAGTTAAGACTACATTTCTGTACTCAAAGGGGGCAATCATGAACATTTTTCTATCTAGGATATAGGTTTACTAAAATATGACAACCATGCAATTGTATGGACTTTCCAAGATTGTTTGTCTCAGGTCCTGAACTATGTTATATTCCATAGAATTGTTCCTATGTTTTAATGAGATATTACATAATTATCTTTTTGGGTGATCTGAGTGTAATATTGAGTTCATCTTCAGCTACCATTTCTTAAGATAAAAATTCAGATCAAAGACCCAGATGGATTAACACGCAATAAAAAAAAGAAATTTTTTACCATGTATGTTCACAAGTAACAAGCTATTTTCACTGATGTAACTTTGGTAACTTACAAATGACTGACAATCCGTATTTGGGAAGAGATTACTTACGGGTTTCTTTAATTTCTTCCTAAAGTAGTCATATTTCTGCTTAAATTCCCTGGAATAAGGAACAGCCTGAAAGATAAATGTATAAATGAAGAAAATGCAAACAATATTCTTGAAATTTTATATACACTAAATCAACATTCAGAGCATTTCATGAATCATAAACTTGAGTATTTTTCACAGAAAATTCACATTATATCTACCTAGGACAAAAAGCAGTCCTAGAACTGCTAAGGTTTATCCAATGAGTCCTGAGTGTGGTAAGTCAAAAAACTCTGGCTTTTTCTTTTTTGAGGTGGGAAGCTTGGTGACCAAACTCAGGTCCTCACATTTGCTTGCATGTGCTCTACCACTTAACCCAGGCACCCAGCACCTTTTTCCACTGGTTTTGAGGTAGGGTCTTGCTCTATGCCTGGACTGGCCTGAGCTTTGTTCTTATTGTGCTTCCCAATGTTGCTAGAGATGACAGGCATGCCACCATACCCAGCCACTGTGTGTCCCCATAGCTGATGGCAAGTAGGTGTCACCATACCCAGACATTAGTTGAAATGGAATCTCTCAAACTGCTAAGTCCAGGCCAGGCCCAAACTGTGAGATCCCAATCTCTGCCTTCTAAGTAGCTTGGATTTAAAACTAGAATTTTGTGCCCGACTCAGAAAACCTTTGACAGTATGCCAGACATACTGAATATGTAATTTTTTTTACAAGATCTGAATTAAGCTATAAACCATAGTAATACGCAGGCATGCACACACACGCGCACGTGTACACACACACACACACACACACACACACACACACACACACACACAAACACTCCTCCTCCTTTTCTCTTCTGATGATGGTACTTGTCTGTAGGCCCAGCATGGAGGCAGGAGGAAAGTAAGTATGAGGACAGCCTTGGGTATGCAGCAAGTCTCCTAATACCAAAAACATTTGGATATAGCTCTGGCCTATGACCCTAGCATGCTGGGGCTCCAGACCTGATTCTCACCTTTGCAGGAGCTCATAGAGCTACCACAATTTAGCGCTGCAAGCTTCCATTGGGAAACAGAACACCTCCCCCTACCTTCCTAAGAGGATTGCTGGAAATTCCAAACCAGTTGATTATAAAGTCTGTAGAAATACACAATGTCTTACGTTGGCAGCAGGCATGCACAGAGGTTAACAGAAGCTAATCATGGTATTATTTGTCACAGAGAGACTACTCTGACTTCGGGAGGCTGTACACTAACCACTGCAGAAAGGCTCCCCTTCCTTAAAAACCACAAAAATGCTGGACCAGCTCAGGACTAAGTGTTTAAAACTTGGGAAAAGGGAGAGAAACTACAAGTGCAAGAAAGACTCAAACTTAGGGAATACCAGGCCACTGGAGCTAGTTCTGGGTACTTGGGTTTAGGTGTTGGTCTTCTCCCAGGGGGACACAGACTTGGCTGACAATCCCTATAACTAAAAGAGCCAGAACAGGATTCTCTGTTTAGAGCCTTACATCTGAAAAGGGGACATGAGTACTCCTCATCAGTCCAAAGAGGCCACAGGAAGCTGACTTTCCCTTTGGGACCATAAATAGGAGAAAACCAGAGAGCAGGAGATGTGTCATAAATCCATACTCCAAGCTGATATCTAAGTATGAAATGAGGCCACAGCTAATCTATTGAGGTGATGGCATGAACCCAGGAAAAAAGCTGACAACACATCTGGTTAGGGCTTATAAAAGTCTCATAGAAACAAGAAATGAAGATGAATACACATGCACATACAAACCATACACTGAACCAGACAACCAACCGCCATTAGGGAGGATAGACACACTTAGCAAGGTTTAATGGCTCTAGAACAAGAGTGAGAATAACTTGAAAGATTAATTAAATGATTTTAAAGTGGTAAGATAAATAATCAACCAAAAAAGATAGAACAACAAAATTATTAAAATGGCAAACCAAATGTTATAGATTGTAGAATTTTGACCAATTAAGCAATCACTGAAATAATAAACACAATGGACAGATAAAGAGATTATAAACATCTTAAGAAATAATTACTGGGCACCAGTGGCTCATGCCTGTAATCCTACTACTCAGGAAGCTGAGATCTGAAGATCATGGTTCCAACCCGGCCCAGGCAGGAAACTCCGTGAGACTCTTATCTCCAATGAACTACTCAAAAAAGCTGGAAGTAGAGTGGTGGCTCAAAGGTAGAGTGCTAGCTTTGTGCAAAAGAAGGTCAGGGACAGTGCCCAGGCCCAGAGTTCAACCCAAGGATTGGGGAGTGGAGAAAGAAATAATTAACTAGGAGAAATGAGTAATAACTCACAATGTAGTTGAAGAAAAAAAGGGAAGGAAGGAAGAGAAGAGAGAGAGAAGAGAATGAAAGCTAAGAGACAAGAAAGTCAGTATGAACCAAACGCCCAGTGGAATTACAAAATTAGATAATCAGCCAGGCATCCAGTAGCTCATGTCTGTAATCCTAGCTACTTAGGGGGCTAAGATCTGAGGATAAAGGTTTGAAGCCAGCTTCAGCAAATTTGAGAGCCTCTTATCTCCAATTAACCAGCAAAACTCTAGAAATGAAGATATGGTTCAAATGGTAGAACATCAATCAGCCTTAAGCAAAAAAGCTAACTAAGAGCATGAGGTCCAAGCCCTAGTACTGTCAGAGAAATTAACAACCAAAAAAAAAAAAAAAAGAGGAACAGACAAAGTCTCTTCTCATGGGCTTAGATGCTATAAAGCAGATTCTAAAGAATGTATATATCAAGAGGAAAAACCATATGCAAATTGCCAAATGTTTAGAACAAAATGGCAAGTCAAATGTCTATAAGTAAGCTGACAATTACCCAAACACACATACTCCTATTGGAAGCAGTATCATTTATAAGAACAAGGCTCTTAATAGTTTTGTCAATAGTCTTCTGGCTTTTGGAGAGCAGCATGGTTTATTATGATTTATCTTGCTTCTCATGAAGCAAGGAAAAATATTCTAGCAACCTACTTGACAGTATCAAAAGCAAAGCCATTGTAGTAAGTAGTGTTTTCTAAGTAGCTGACTTTCTTTAAAGCCTTTCACACAGAAAATAATACCAAAGTAGTTGAATAAATTCAACCTATAAATGGCTAATGGGGTATCAATTAACACACATTTACAATGTATTATATTTTTGTGGGGTGGTGGTGGTTGCTAGTACTGGGGAGCTTGAACTCAGGGTCTCATACTCTTGCTTGGCTTTTTTGCTCAAGGTTAACTCTACCACTGGAGCCTCAGCTTCACTTCCAGATTTCTGGTGGTTGATTGGGTGATAAGAGTCTCATGGAATTTTCTGCCTCTGTTGGCTTTGAGCTGTGATCCTCAGACCTCAGCTTCCTAAGCAACTAGGACTATAGACCTGAGCTACTAGTGCCCATTAAGTGGTATCTTTTTAAGTTTCCAAATAGACAGATCTTTGTTATTTAAAACATAATTTGAATCAGGTTAAAATCATAAAATCAGGTTTTTCTGGTGTTAGTTCTTGGGCTTGAATTCAAGGCCAGGGTATTGTCCCTGGGCTTTTTTTTTCCCCCCTCAAGGCTAGCATTCTACCACTTGAGCCACAGCTCTACTTCCATGGTTAATTGGAGATAAGAGTCTCATGGACTTTCCTGTTCATACTGGCTTTGAGCTGTAATCCTCAGATCTCAACCTCTTGAGATTATGTCTCTGGGATTAGAGGTGTAAGCCACCAGTGCCTGGGTAAAATTAGTATTTCAAATAGCTTCTTAAATCAGCACTTGATATAACAGAACTTGAGTTTGGTTTGCTCCTGAATTCTTTTACAGAATTATTTCGCAGTCTTCGGATGCCCTCTGTGGACTTCCAGCAATTTCAAAGTATCTCTTTGCTGTCCTGCAACTAGTGGCTAAGGCTGCATGGCCCTCCCTGCTGATGGGATATGCATCTTAGAGATGCAGCTGCTAAGTTTAATATCAAGTGCTGCTGAATGCCAGTGGGCTCCCTCCTCCCACAACGCAGCGTCTTATACTGTTACAGAGCTCACATGCCTAAGTCAGAACAGACTCTTCTTCCATCCAGTGGACCAGGAACTCTCCAAGAAAGCACTGAGTCAGCAGAGTCAAAGATTCTTAATTCTGCCAGCCCCCCTAACACAACAACAATCTCATCCAAATGCCCACAGACTCTTCTAAATCTGGTAGAGATTTGAATTTATTAGTATGCATTTACTAACCCTAGTCTAAAGAAATAGCCATGCCCTACAAACATGGGGCTTGGTTTCACTTCCTATAAAAAGGAGTAGAGAAGCCATGCACCCATGGCTTAAGTCAGTAATCCTAGCTACTCAGGAGGCTAAAATCTGAGGATCACAGTTTGAAGGCAGCCTTGGCAGGAAGAGTCAATGAGATTCTTATCTCTGGTTAACAATCAAAAACCTGGAAGTGGCTCAATTGGTAGAATGCTAGCCTTGAGCGAAAGAGCTCAGGGACAGTGCCCAGGCTCTGAGTTCAAGCCTCAGTAATGACACCAAAAAAACCCCAAACCCAACCAAAACCAACAATAGCAACAAAAAACCCAAAACATTCTACCATTCCTAACTATTGGTTGAAAAGGAGTCTTGGGAGCTTTCTGGCCTGGGTTGGCCTTTAGTTATGATCCTCCTGACCTCAGCTTCCCAAGTATCTAGGGTTACAGGCATAAGCCAGCTCCTGATTCTATTTATTCATTCATCCTTTTACAAAGAAGTAATGTTTCATTTTTATCAAACCATTTCTTCTTTCTTTATAACCTTGCCCCAGAAAAAGGCATGTGCAACTATACCCAGTGTGGAAGCCAGTGAAGAGATGGGAAGAGTCTTAAAACTCTCCACCTCACCATGGTAATCGCAATATAGAAGAAATGAATGTCTCAGTGCACCCACAGGCTTACACAAACAAGTCAGAACTTGAGAATACTGACCGGGCCAGTGATGGCTGGGTTCTGCAGTCTTGGATCTTCCCATTGAGTAATTTTGCTATCTAAAATGAGAGAAAGAGAGAGAGAGAGAAAGAGAGAGAGAAAGCGAAAGCGAAAGAGAAAGAGAGAGAGAGACCAGCATATTAGTTCCAATGTATACTATATATTTAGAGAGAACTATTTCTGGGTTCTCAAAAATTCTCTACTCATCTCCTATGTCCTTTTCCCCCCAAACCACAACTTAGTATTTTATGATTAGGAGGTAATGATACACTGCATGACAAACCCTTCTCATACTGTTAAAATACTCAATCCAATATGCAGGACTGAGGTAAAACCATCTTGTGCTGTTTTTTGGCAAGCGATCAGCTGAAATTTCAATTATAAACCCCTGTCCTTCCAAGGATTTATAAGTTGATCTTGAGTTTTAATATACAAAAGGCACAAAAAGTTTTAGTTTCTCAGGAAGTTAATAAACACACACATGATTTCTTTCTCATTTCAGATACTCCCCCCCCCCCCTCTTCTTTTGCCAATGGTGTTTAAAACGGTTTTCAGTTGGGAATCTTCCATCGAACAAATGAGGAGCCATTCCATGTGCCACTAGCAGGCACACAAAAACTGAAGTAGCTAAGACATTTAAAAAAAAAAGAAGGAAAGATTTGGGGGGTTTTGGCGGGGGCGGGGAGGAACAATGGGATTTCCAAGTTGTTCAAGGAGGAGGGAGGCAGGAAAGGGAAGAAAATTCTGAATATTAACCCTGTATATTTCTACCATAATAAGTGAGTTGGTGGTAACAAAAGAATTCAATTTTAGTCATTATAACTAGGATTTTAAACCAAAGTCTGATGCTATTATTATTTTGATGAAAGCAGACATAAAGTTTTACAAAGGTTCTCAAGGCCTAGGAATATTCTACAATTTTTATCTTGTTTTCAGGCTGACAGAAAATCAGTATGAAAGCCTTTGTATGGAGAATCTTGATGGAAACACAAGGTGTTATTTAGGTCCCTTATCATGGGAAGCAAAGTCTTGGGAAAGTAAAAGCTGCTATCATGATAAAAAGGAAAATCAAGCTGATGGCAGAGGCTAAAACCTAGTATCCTAGCTACTCATGAGGCTGAGTTCTGAGGATTGCAATTCAAAGCCAGCCCAGGCAGGAAAGTCTGTGAGACTCTTATCTCCAATTAACTACCAAAATGCCTAAACTGGAGCTGTGGCTCAAGTGTCAGAGTGCTAGCCTTGAGCATGAAAGCCCAGGCCCTGAGTTCCAGCATGTGAGCCCCTACACACACAACAACAACAATGAAAACTAATTGAAAATTCAGAGTGTAGCTGAGAGAAAACTAAAATATTGCCTTAAAATATCAACTGAGATAATATCTGTGTCCACTGGATTTTTGTTTTCAGAGCAGAACATAAATACATCAACTACTACTCTCAACACAGGAGTGCTCCCCAACCTTCTGATGAGGTCTGAATGTTAGGTTCCATCTGCACCGGGTCCCTGCTTGCTCAACTCTGTCTAAACAGAACAAGGTCAGCACCCAACACCACAAAGCACTCATGTGACCCATACTCCCAGTCAGCAGCACAATCTAGACACTGTCCAAATCAGGAACCTGGTCCTGTCTCAATTGGTGGTCCCCATTCTTCTCCTTTGGGACCCTTGCAGGGGAATTCGCATCTTTCTGGAACCACTCTGGTCCCTAGGTCTCCCTGGCTAGTATCATTCCTCTCTCTTCAAGAATTCTACAGCTCTGCTCCAAGTTCTTTGTAAAGAGCATCAGATTGGTGTCATACATCTCCAAAAGGCTCTGGAGAAGCCCCTCCAGCATGAAGAATGAACCTATGGGCCCGTAACCTGGCAGACACCTGCTGAATTGGCCCAGGTGCTGGAGCAGCCACCTTTGTCTACCATCCAGGTGGAATGAGACTGCATTTCTGTCAACCATGATATAGTTCACCTACAGCCATGCACCTGCATGTCTCCCTGCTCAAGAATTGCTGTACCTGCCAGGTTCCGCCCTGTTGGAAATCTACCTGCATGGAAAGTCACTCTTCCCACGGTCTTCTAAGGTTCTCTTCAACTGTCCCATACCAATGGCTGCCATGGCTATCTAACACAACATCTGAAACACTGCTGGCATTGTTGATTTAAGTCTTTTGAGGATGTGTCTGTGCCACTCAGCCTTGCACCCCCTGCCATGGCTAAAGAGAGGTTCCCCACAAGTTAACGGGAGTTTACAACATTGTCTTCTGAATGATTGAACAGCTACACTTTACTTCTGTGTGGTTACAAAGATCAATTCTGCAGCAAGTGTTGTCAACACATGAATGAAGCGGGGCAAGTTAGCCATTTTTTAAAAAATGAACTTTTGGGTCAAAATTTGCTTTTTTTTTTTTTGCCTATGAGACATGAAATTTCAAAAAAAAGGCCAAGAAGGATAGAAGGGTAAGCCATTTAGTTTTGCTGAGTCCAAAACAGGAGTCATTGGAATGTTAAATTCTAACTTAAGGTATGGATGGCCATTCTGTAAGAATGATGTCCTTTCCAAGACAGCTAGATATCCTGCTCCAAGTCCTCCTCTAACTTTCCATGTCAGGCCTCAAACAATTGAGCTATCAGCCAGACTCAGAACACAGTCTGACCACAGCATTCAGATCCAGTGGGGAGAGAAGAGGACCACATGTGCTGTTCTAGAAAGGGGAATGGGAAATGTCTGAAGCAACAGGCAGATGGATCAGAAGTAAAGTTCAGCCTGGCATGGAGCAAGCAGTTGTCCCCTTCCAACTTCCGATGAACAGGTGTAAGGCCAGCTGGGGCAAGAAGGCCACTGCTGCTGTCTCTCCTGGCAAGTGCTCTCTACTCTCTAACCAGCAACAGTCACTTCCAGACACTTTCATCACTGACCCTTGATGAACAACTTCAAGATACCATTTCTTCAGCATCTACTACATATTTTATCAGGTTTGTGCATACCCTTGGGAGAAACAATGCATGATTCTTATTCCTAACACATACTATCATGCTGCTTTGCAATCAGTGTTGTTCTTTTGGTGCCTGCTGGTACACAAAGAACATTCACAAAGTTCTTTTTTTTTTTGGGTCCGGTCGTGGGGCCTAAACTCTGGGCCTGGGCACTGTCCCTCAGCTCTTCGGCTCAAGGCTAGCGCTCTACCACTTGAGCCACAGCTCCACTTCCGGCTTTTTTCTTTTTGCTTATGTGGTGCTGAGGAATCGAATCCAGAGCCTCAGGCATGCAAGGCAAGCGCTCTACCACTGAGCCACCTTCCCAGCCCTCACAAAGTTCTTTCCAGGTTTTTTCTAAGTGTTATCAGCTAGACCTGCTAAGATGTGGCATGTTCTCTGTGCTCTGTCACAGACAATCCTGTGTAAGACCTTGTTTTACGAAAACAATCAGTATTATTCATATGAAAATGAAATAATAAAGAATAAAAAACTGAAAAGAGAATTGCATTTTTTGTTGTAATGAAAAAAAAATGAGGTGTAGCCTCTCTCATTTTAACAGTATCTTTTCAAAGTAAAAAAGTGAAAGAAAAAAAACAAACCCAGCAGATTGAGGGTGAAAGTAGGGTATACACATAACATTTTAAGCTCTACTGAAACAACTTTATGTTTAAGGCAAAAATTCAGAAAGCAGGCAACTCATTGCTTTCCAATCAAAGCAAAACTCTAAGTCCATGTGCCTTCAAATACTTGAATCCTTCAAATGCATTCAGGACTTGTACTTTGGGTTTAATGCCGAATAGCTGGATCTCTTGTTTACATTCTGTGTATGAGAACACATAAGTCCTCATGTCTGAAAGCAAAGTCCTGTTTGCAATATAGCAGCAGCTGGTAGAAGCTCTAGGCCTCTAGAAGCATAGACCCAGTATGATTTGTGGCCAGATTTTTCAGCACAGGGCTCACCCAGGTGCTCTTGTTTCATCATTAAAAATGGAAGAGAAGCTGGTTGCTGGTGGCTCACATCTATAATCCTAGCTATTCAGGAGGCTGAGATCTGAGGATCATGGCTGGAAGCCAGCTTGGCCAGGAAAGTCTGTGAGATCCTTATCTCCAGTTAATTGTTAAAAAGAAGTCGAAAGTGGAGCTGTCGTTCAAGTGGTAGAGTGTTACCTAGCCTTGAGCAAAAAGTTCAGAGACACAATCCGAGGTTCTCCAGTTCAAGCCTCAGAACTGGTAAAAAAGGAAAAAAGGAAAAAACAAAAGGAAGATCTGGCACTGATTTCCTGCTTATGAATTATACAAACCCAAGTGTAAAATACTACCAAACTGCACATATGACTGGAACTTTGTATCGATTTGAAGTGTTCTTTTTAATGTACTTTTTCTTCAGAAATTTTAAAGGCTAAGTAAAAATGATCCCATGAAGAACAAGTCACCTTAAAAACAAACTGAAAAATAAAGTAATCCACTGGCTAAAAGCAAACATTTATTAGTTTAACTTTTAGTTGAAATGAGAAACCACACATTAATTTATAGGTGCTGGAGCCAATGTCTTCAGCAAACTTGCTACAATTTCAAGAAAACAACTAAATATATGTACATATATATGTATATATATATATTAGTGTGCTGGGTGCAAGGTAACATGCTATGAATAGAAAATAAGGTCAGAATGGGCTTTCTTGCCATAAGACCTTTGGAAGACAGTGTTTTGAAAACTTACAAGCACTGTTTACACATAGATTTTTTTTTAAAATTTTTTACTAAGGTATTGCCTCTAATCTTATTTTCTATTTCGAGTATACATATTAAAAAGCGCAAATGTCAAGGGATCATCAACCAAAAAATTTTTTTAATTAAAAAAAAAGTTAATAGGTCACAAGATCAAATTGGGTGAAAGCTCAACGGGGTACTTGGAAGCCAGCTTGGGGCGCAGGCACAGTACCGTAGGAGGGCACTGACTCCCTGGCGTCATTCTCGCCACATAACACCTGGCTACCTGGACAGAGAGTAAAACGACAAAGTTTTCACCATCATATTTGAAGAACCCTCCTCCCCTTGGCACCCTGCATCCACAGTGCGCCCACAGCAGGGCCTACTTACTATGATCGATATAAAACGTCCGGCCATCCAAGTGAATTCTTTCTTCCCAACCAGGCTAGTGTCCGTGGAAGGAACAGTGGGTGGGTGGGGGGTGCACGGGGGGGGGGAGGTGAGGGAGGGGTAGAAGAGAGAGAGAGAGAATATGACATCAATTAGCATTAGAAATCAAAAGCAATGTTGAAAAAAACTTTGGACACTTTCTTATTCTTCACTTACAGGAAACATCACTAGACCAAGGAAAACTTAAACAACAAATATTTGAAGGTAGCAGTACCTAGCAACACAGAACACAGAGCAGGGAGCACTCCCCACATGAAGGGCAGGAAATTGGCTCCTCATACTATGGAAGAGTCAAGTGTGATGGGCTCATTTAATTAAATGTGAGAGCCCCAGAGAGGGATGAAGCAGCTCAGCCACAGCTTACTCATGGTGAATTTACTTAGTGCGTGAGTCGCTGAAGAACCCAATGCTGCTCCTCTCTGCTACAAACAGTCACTATGCAAACTCAGGAACTAAAACGTATGAACAACTTTGAAGATACAGTAAGTATGTCCCCATTATCTGTCCTTGCCTTATTTCTTATCTGAAACTTGAGAATAAAATATATTCAGAAAAAAAAAATGCTTTCTTTTACTTTTCACCTGACTTCCATTGGTGTCCAGAGACCAATGAATGGTGAGGACTATTCGTGCAATCTAATGAATGATGATTGAATCCTAAGTATTATAGTCTCAAATTTTGCCACAATATACCATATAGCAGGACACAAAACTTTCTTTTTCCTATTTGGAACACAACAACAAAAATTCCCCTTTAAGCTAGTTTTGAGACCAAGTTCTGCCCCAGTTTTTATTAAGGGCTCTCTCTCTCTCTCTCTCTCTTTTTTTGGTCATGGGGCTTGAATTCTGGGCCTGAGTGCTGTCCCTCAGCTCTTCAGCTCAAGGCTAGCGCTCTACCATTTGAGCTATACCATTTCTAGTGGTTTACTGGAGATAAGAGTCTCACGGCTTTTCCTGCCCGGGCTAGCTTTGAACCACGATCCTCAGATCTCAGCCTCCTGAGTAGCTAGGATTACAGGCGTGAGCCACTGGTGCCCGGCTTATTAGGGGCTCTTGATGGTGACAAATGGCAAAGCTTTCATCCTAAACTCAAGATGAACAAAGAGCACTGCACACCCCAACCCCCTTCCCCCTGCAATGACAACCCAAAAACCCCTAGTCACCAACAAGGGAGAAAATAAACTTGAAACATAGTTAAATGACTTGGAATACCTTTCTATGATTATTTATGCCTTTTTCTTCCCCCATTGTTTTGAATATCTTTGTTTCTATGATTATCAGCAATATGGAGGCGCTTGGTGGTTGCTACGGTGTGTCGTGCTTACATGATCACCCAAAGTGAGTGCCACCTGTCTGCTCTTGCTCAATGTCTACCAATTCAGACATTTCTTTTACAAGTACTGGCATCACATGTACTTTACTGTACTCGTAAAACTCCACCAACTACTCAACTCATAGGACCTAGGAAGCCAGGAGCAGGATTCTCCCTTAGCAATGGACATTTTCAGACTGTTCCATGTGTCTTCAGTATACTCACAGGAAGAGGGCCAAGGTCGTTGGGGTTTAAAGATGCTTTTGACCGCATATGTACTGGAAATTTCAGGCGTGGATCTTCCTATAAGAAAAACATAAAGCGCAAGAGATGTCAAGAGGAGCCCTGTGGGCACTTTTTGGCTTGTACTGTTTTCCACGTTGCAAGTTCCAAAGCAACCAGGATGCTTATGTGTGGCACATTGGAAGGCTCCCAATATGGCGTTTTTCCACCTCTCAGGTAATCCTCTGCCTTCCTTCCTTGTGCTTGATATGAGGAGAAGGGCAAGAACATTTAAATGAGAGGTTAATGGTTTCTCCAATCATTAGCAGTGATTTTTTTTTTTTACTATGGAAACCAGGATGGAAGATGATGTGTTCTACTCCGAAGAAGATATGGTGTTCAGTGTTCATAAATGTCCCCCATGAATCCTGATACCATACCATCAATGTTGGGATGCTAAGCAGAGATTCCTAATCTTTCTGACAGGCAAGACATGTGACCACCCCTTACACTGTCTTCTTCACTCTATGGAATCATGTGCCTGGCTATGAACTTTACCGAGGCTCCTAACCAAGTTCTACAGAGGAACTTCTCATGTATGTCTTAACAAAGTTTACCAGAAGTTTTTTCTGAAGCAAATACAGGAAACCATCAAAAGGGAAATATGGGACTCTCATATCCTGGGCCATGCTTTATAATTTTACAGAGAATAAACACAGACTCATGTAACACCCCTTGTTAGAAGGTTGAACACATGATCTATGTCTTTAAGTGAGCAGTCAATGAGAATGGGAATTTGACTACATGTTATATGTCCCAGAGCTGACTGTCATATCACATAACCTAGATAATCCATGACTTTAAAATGTCAGTCAGAAATTCTGTAGATGAGAAAGCTCAGAATCATACATGATCAAATGGAATAATATATTATCATCCCAAAATGAAAAAGCAAACCCTCGAGACATGTAACTCTAGCTTCAGGCAATTCTATGAAAGCTTTTGCTGCTGTCAAAATACTGAAAGGTTTCTTTTTTCTCAGTTTCTGAGTCAACAGGAGAAACAATAGTATCAGTAGATTGTAACTAAGTATAGATTTGAGGAACTGGCAAAAATCAGGAAAGAGCACAAAAACCCAATCAATCTTTGTTTTCTGCTGGCTACAACAAACTTAAAGAAAAAAGTCATCTTAGCAGTTGGTGATGAATGTTGACGCTGAATTGAATGTATTTTTTAATAAGATCAGTTAAAGTGATACCAATATTCTATGGTATATGGAACACTTATAAGAGTGAATAGATGTTAAGCAGATATAGGATTTCAACGATCCAAGAAGCTGATAAACTGTAAACATTTGCAACTGGTGAACTGAGAACAGGGGAAGAAATTAAAACACTGAATTCTACATAAGCTACACTCAGCTAACCCCTGGCTGACCAGGTGATACACGACTGCAGGGCACCTGGAGCATGTAGTCAATGGCCGTGCCACCATCTACAGAATCTTACAGAAAGCCACAAAAGGAGGCAAGGCCCATCTTGGAATCATACTTCATCAACAGGGCAACACAATCAGATATTTGGTGTGAGAGAGAGAAAGACAGAGAGAAAGAGAAAGAGAGCGGGAGAAGAGAGAAAGAGGGAGAGGGAGAGAAAGAGAGAGGAGAGAGGGAGAGGGAAAGAGAGAGGGAGAGCGAGAGGGAGAGAGGGAGAAGGAGAGAGAGAGGGAGGGAGAAGGAGAGAGGGAGAGGGAAAGGGAGAGAGAAGCTGGGATTAAAGGAAAGTGCCAGGTACTGGGAGAATAGAGGAAGAAGTATAAAAGCAGCTCATAGGTTGGCTAAAGAGGCCTTGTGTGAAAACTCACTTTTCATAGGATGCAAAGGGCCGAATCCTATTATTTCATTATACTAGCAATACTCAGAACAATGACTTCAGTTGCCATTAGGGCAGCTGAGGGCTGATGGGTGGTCATCACTCGGCAGCTCTCCCACTGAGCCTCCTGAACCACCTCCATACCGGACAGCCAAGGTGACCTTGCAGCCAAGGCCTGACAATACTTAAGACAACTTCAGGGATGACGGTAGCTGGAATACTAATGAGGTTGAGTGACAGGAATATAAATGAACCAGGTATCTTGAAATACTTGATTCTCTTTTTTCTTTAGTGCACATCAGCTATCTAAGAGAAGGATCTCCTAATTAAAAAAATATAAAATGTGGCGATTCTGGCTGGCTCCAGGAAACAACTATGTTTTTTTTTTCCTTTCCTCTTTCCATATTGGAAGAGAATGGCAATCATGCCTAGACTATAATTAGCTATATTTGTTTGAACTTGGGAACCAAACACAACTATAACTTAACTAAGGTGTAATCTTCGTTGTTAAAAAAGCAGGCTGCTGCCTTGTCCTGAGAAAAGCATAAACACAGTGGCATACCACCCTTCTGAGATGTTCCCTTAGCTAGGGGGCAGGAGGGGCAAGTCCAGCCTCCTGGGCTTTCTCCAGGACCACCTAGTATGTATGCATGTCTTGTTGGCTGACCCAGGCAGGAATAAAGCCCTCCTTTGCTTTTTTGTTTGTTTGTTTTTTGATGCAGTCAGGCTTTAATTCCAAATAGACTCTTGGCATGCTGCCTTCATTTATGTAAATGCCCCTTGTAAATATGCTTCGCTGGGTGCTAGTGGTTCACATCTATAATCCTACTCAGGCAGACGGGAACTGAGGACTAAGGTTTGAAGCTATTCAGGGCAGGAAAGTCTATGAGACTCTCTTATCTCCAATTAACCATCAAGAAGCTAGAAGCAGAGCTGTGGTTTGTGAAAAAGTTAAGGGTCAGAGCCCAGGCCGAGTTCAAGATCTGGTACTGGTATTCATACACACACACACACACACACACACACACACACACACACACACGCACACACACACACACATTATCACATACCCACAATCATCTTTGCTAGGTGCCTGTGGCTTGTACCAGTAATAATAATAATAATGATAAAAGTAAGCAAATTTTAAAAATAAAAAGAAGGGGGATCTCCAACTTGTTACCTTAAGGATTTTCAACACAGGCAGCAGAAAAAAAAAAGATTGGCTAAATGAAAAATTTCTGAGTAAATTGCTCAATAAGTATCAGAGTGAAAAGACAAATGGAAATTAAAACTGGATTTTTCTATTAAGCAGTGATGCCAGCAATAAATGAAAGCTGGTGCTATTTAAAACATAACCTGCCCAGTTGCAATTACACTGCAGTTGTGGCGTGAAAGGCCGTGAAAATGTTAGAGGATTTGGTTACTAAGCTCGTTCACATTACTAAAATCATAGCTTATGTTGGCAAGCCACAGTGGCTCCATGCACTAATCCCCTGACTTTTGTATTATGTACCTCCTATTTCTGGAGCTCTATCTGGTTTCTTGCCTGAGATTCTGGATCTTCAGGAGAACTACAAGTCAAGGGAGTTCTGAGTTAATGTAAAAAAAAAAAAAGAAAAAAAAAGACCTAAAATCAATTTCTATTGCTCTTTTCTGAAGAGTTGCCTGTCTCTTTTATTCTCAGTTGGCCCACAAACCTGTAATACTATCTCCAGACTAAAAGGTGAATCAGACAAACCTCTCCATGTCATTATGTGCCTCAGAAGTAGTTATCAGTTTACCAAATGAGTGTCATCAGATCCCAATGGTAAGTGCTGTTGGCAGGTGAGTCGATGCCTTCACTGCTGAACAGGGAGAACTCTGAGCACAGTCCTTAGGGAGGGGTGTCTGCAAATGTGCAGGGGCAGTTTTGCTCTTCACTGTGCTGGGCAGGTGATGGTAGCTATTAGCATCCAATGGTAGGAGCCAAGGATGTCAACATCCCCCACCGGAAGGCATATGGCTGCCCCAGGTGCCAAGAATGTCTGATGGGGACATGCTGCATCCCGCTTCATTGGACTTTAGGGAATGGGCTGCCCTCTAGACCAGTTTTCAAGGGATTGGAATAGCATCACACCAGGGACCAAGGGTAAACAGCAGTTTAGGTCACCTTGGTTGAGACATTTTCCTTAGCTGAATACTGTGGTTCCATCAACTGGACACACTCTGTCCATCACCAGAGATAGGAATTTAAAGTACGTGTCCATTGTTTATCCAAGTCCTAAAAGCCTGGGTGAGTGACAATCTCCCAAACTCAAGCAAGCTTTCATACAATCTCAGTTCTAGGCAAGTAGCACAAGTGATGGAAGGTCAAAGTTAATCCCAGAGGTAATTCTACCCAGACAATCAGAGGAGGACACCAGGGACAGGAAGCAAAACAAAGTTCTTGCAGCCTCAAAATGAGCCAAGAATAAAGACAACCCACTCCAGTTGAATTACAGTTCTAGAGATCACACAGAAGGAAAATACCAGCTGACTTTTAAAAGAGCTCTATGGTACCTTGAACCATCTATCACTGATTCAGCTAACAAAGGAAAGAAAGAAAGAAAGAAAGAAAGAAAGAAAGAAAGAAAGAAAGAAAGAAAGAAAGAAAGAAAGAAAGAAAGAAAGAAGGAAGGAAGGAAGGAAGGAAGGAAGGAAGGAAGGAAGGAAGGAAGGAAGGAAGGAAGGAAAGGAAAGGAAGGAAGGAAGGAAGGAAGGAAGGAAGGAAGGAAGAAAGAAAGAGAAAGAAAGAAAGAAAGAAAGAAAGAAAGAAAGAAAGAAAGAAAGAAAGAAAGAAAGAAAGAAAGAAAGAAAGAAAGAAAGAAAAAGAAAGAAATGACAGAGGAACACAGAGATAGGCATTCAGTGCTGTTTTAGTCTCAAGTTGCCCAAGTTAAAACAGCACACAAGTTTCTGACCATAGATGATTTAGGAGCTTATGAAAGAGCAGTATGACAAGAAAAATCAATTTGGACAAAATGCTGACTGAAAAGATGGATCAGCAAAGTCACTCTGTGTATCTAACCCACAACCAAATGTAGAATAGAGATACAAAACACTAATTAGACACAAACATTATAGCACTAAAGTGACAAATGAAATTGGGTGGTGGTGGTGGTGGTGGAAAAATGTCAATAGAGATGGGAAAAGAGACAGAGAAAAACATTGGGTTACAATAGTTTGAGACGAGATGCTGTCACTGCAAAATCCTGCCCCTTCCCCCACTGGTGGTAAAGTGTGAAAACAGCTTCCCAGGAGTGCTGAGGCAAGGTGTGCCCACCTGGCACCAGTGATCTGGTGGCCAGCATCTATGCCCACAGCCACCACACTCTCCAGCCCGGCTGTGTGGCACAGACACAGGTGAGGAGACACCTACTCAGCCCCTCCCACTGCCCCCTCAGGGGCCATGCATCAGAGTGGATGATGAAACTCCTGTACAATCATGAAGAGTCAGGAAAGAAAGGGATTAACGCCAGACCTCCTGGTGAAATAAAAACAGCAGCCTTACCCAGGTCGTAGTCTTTGTATTATGGTCAATGAAGAAGGGCCGGCCATTTGGAGCTATCCTCATTTCCCAGCCGGGTGGCAGGAAGCTCTGTGTGACTTTGTGTTGTGGTTTGGGGGAGTTGTAAGGTGATGGCTGAGGGGACTGTGGATTGGAAAGGGTATCTTTCACAGCCCGACGTATGGGTGAGTCCTTGGCACCCTAAGGAATAATAATGAGCATTAGAACTCTTTACCATGTGCTATTTCCAATGTGTCAAAATGTACCTGGGTACCGTAGCGTGCTCCTCCTTGGAAGCTCCTAAAAAAAACCCTGTTTGTTCATTCACTGATGTTGCTATCCACCTAACTTCACATTGTTTTGTCGATTAAATACACAATATTAGGTATTTTATGATCACTTCGTTTGGTAAGCCACTTGGTATATGCCCCAAATACCAGTCTATATTAGGAATTCTGTATTATGAGGATGACAACTTACGGAGTGGAGAAAATCATGCCCCTGCTCTCAGCGAGCGTACAATCTAATCAAGAACAAATTGGCAAGTTTCTGAGAAGAGACCCCTTCCCCTTCCCCCCCCCCCACCTCCACAATGACACAGTTGTTACCCACCACATTTATATGTGTGTCTAGAAGAGCTATCACCCAGTCCCACTGAGAAGCAGCTTGGCCCAGAGCAAGGAGAAGCCCACAGCCATCAACCAGGCACATTCAAGTTCAGAACCTCAAACATTTACTCATTGGCTTTTCTAACTCTGACATTTGTGATGTTTATAGAGATGGCACTAAAACAACACAAACAGGAGAGAGCACAAGTAGATGCCCAGCAATGGTTCAGAGATACAAATAGGCATCAGAAACACATATGCCCATACAATGAAGACCCTATAGTCAAAGGAAAACAAAAATAACAACAACAAAAAGGATCAAAGCAACAGCTATGTTTTAAAAACTCAATAGAAGCATTGGCATTTGAGTTATTATGCAATTCGAATGAGGTAACAGGCAAATAAGGAGCAGAACACAATAAGAATGGTAAAAGTTCTGAAGAGAGAGTGCCTAGAGCCAGCACAAGTCACCACGCACGGCGTCAGCCAATGAGAATGAGGAGTGTGAGAGTCCAAGATGTTAACTGGGCGAGACAGAGAAGCATGGAGGAGCGCGCAGAACACCCCTCACCACCAACACATAACTGATCAGAGGCAGTGGCTGCCAAACTGAAGTCTGAGTTACAGAGAAGAGAGAATGAGGAGAAGCCACAGGACAGAGGTGACCCCAGTTAGATGAGGTCGCTTCTCACCTCCAGTGGGGCAGATAAAGTTACTGTTGGCGAACTGAGACTACGAGGCCGGCGGATCTGAGGCTCGATTAGGTGGTTGCTACTGTTTGTGGCTGATCCAGAGGCACCATCTTCTGCAAGCTAGTTTGGAGGCAAAAACAAGTTAGCTTCATATGAGGATCTCCCTGTGTGTCATTAGGAAGCGTGAACCCAAACAACACACAGCAATAATAAGAGGTCTAGCCTATTTAAAGCTTGGAGGAAGTAATTAAACATAATAATGGGGAAAGGTTAGGGAAACACATTCAAGGGGGATAAATATGAATCATTGGCCTGTATAAGAACTAGCCTTGGGGAAAAGGTGGAAAGGGAACCTGCATACTGTAAGAGGCCTTTATTTTTCAAGCTACCTTTCATGGAACATTAAAAAATAAACACATATAAGGACAGACCAAAGTCTTCTTTAGGCAAATACTAAAGTAATGCATGACTTCTCATTCAGTTCTCAGTTTACCCATTAGCTGAGGCCTTAAACAACAACTGCCAATCATAAAAGCCCCCAAAGAGTCTCTCTCCTGTGTCACGTACCCCTGGTGTGTTGTGGGGCTCAAACTCAGGGTCTGGGCATTGTCTCTGGGCTCTTTTGCTCTACCACGTGGAGCCACAGCACCACTTCTGGTTTTCTGGAGGTCAGTTGGAGATAAGAGTCTCGTGGACTTTCCTGCTTGGGCTGGGTTCAAACCGTGATCCTCAGATCTCAGCCTCCTGAGTAGCTAGGATTACAGGCATACGCCACTAGTGCCCAGCTTTCTGTGAGATTCTTTTTTGAGGCACAGGTCCTTCGGAACAGTACATAAACACTGGGAATAGAATGAAGGTCAAGTGCATCTCAGCTGCTATGACCTGTGATTTTAGGTTGGATGGCGATCTTCATTACCTGCATGATTGGTCGAGTCCAAGTTGTGGTTCGATTGTTATGATTGACATAGTATGTGCGTCCCTTAGCATCTTTTCTTTCTTCCCAGCCTGAAGGTAGGCCCGGCGTGGTATGTACATAGGCCACTGATGGCTGTTTGTGCAAGAAATCATTATTATTTAACAACTAGCATTTACCTTTCTGATTCGTTTAATAAAGTAACACAAACCCGGATAATTAAATTTCCTGGACAAGGCAAGTTAATTCTATTTGTACAGAAAAAATAATTCTGGAAGACTGAACAAAGCTTCTAAGAGCTTCAACTCTACTGTAAGACGAACCCCAAACAGCTGGGGGCATCTAGATTTTTACACCCAGTTCTCACTCAATTCTAAGAAATCATTGCTAAGGAGACTGTAAATAAAGAGAAAAATATTGTAATTTGTGCTAGTTATGCAGTGTCACTACCAAACTGTACGGTGGATGGCCATCTGCACACCCTAGCTCAGATCTCTGGCCATGTGATGGAGGAATCCCTAGGAATATCATACTGAGGGACGTGCCAGTCTACTCACATGGAGTGTATCAATCTATGGGCAGTGACTGGGTTTAGGGACATGTCCAGAAGACAGTGAGTCTATTTGGGCAGGGAAGACAGGACCACAAGAGACAGTCGAGACTTCTCCTTGTAAGAAAGAGTCTAAGAGATGCAGTGTGGATGGAGGAGTTCTGGACAAGGGCAGATGCGTCGTGACTCAGCATGTGATGGGGCATCAGAAGTGACAAATGACCCTGGAAGGCTGACATCCACCTGGCACCTGGGAACTGCAAGAAGATGCCTGCCAGGGCCTCCCAAGGCTCCTGAGAGGTAAAAGGGAAACTTCCGGAGGAATGGCCTCTTCAGTCAGGATACTGCTGCTTTACAGACTGCCTTCCGTACTGGGGTCTTCCCCCACCCCTCCAGGTACAGGTGGATGACGTAACTCCCCTCAACCCAACTTCCTGTCCTTGTCCCATCTTTTCTGTTCACTACTACCCGTGAGCCTTGCTGAAGAAGGACAAGGCCACAGGTCTCCCTCAGAACACTCTGGAGCCCAAGTTAGGGAAAGCATGAACAAACATGCTGGAGATGTTCAGAAGTACACCTGCAGAATCTCTGCCCCTGCTCCCTAAGTCTCACAGTGCACCCCAGAACAACTGGAAACTTCCCAAGGAACTGGGAAACAGCTGAGTCCACGGTTATGTCTAAACTATGTTTACCAAGCCAGACCAAGGCTAGCTGGAAGAAACTGCCTTGTGAAAAATACAGCAACTACTTCCTCCACATTTTCCTAGACCGTAAGATGATTCCAAGACTGACCACACACCACCCTGGACTCAGGTATGAAGATTCAACAAGAGCAGAAAAAACATCAACTCAAAGGCTTACTCCTTTCATGACCATTAAAGATAGGCAGATTATGGCAAACCCCAAATGCTACCTCCAGACTACTTTCACCTGGGCTTGCTGAGTCTGCTTCCTGCTGGGCCTAAGTTAGCAATCCAAGTTATAATCTCAGCTGGGAATCAATCAGCATTTTTGACAATGTATCTGCGACTATGCTTTTTAAAAATGTTACTTTTTAAGAATTTATTTATTTACTTAATTTATTTTTATTTGGTACTGAGGAATTGAAACCAGGGCCTCATGCACGCCAGGCAAGCACTCTACCACTAAGCCACATTCCCAGCCCCCCCCTGTGTGTGTGTGTGTGTATTATTTGTTTATTTTTTTATGTGACTGGGATTTGAACCTAGTACCTAGGGTTTGGTAGATAAGTGCTCTACCATTTGAGCCGTATCTCTAGCCCAGCTACTACATTTTGATTTACTATGCTGATATGATTAAAAAAATTCTTTGACACATGGAATATTAAATGGAGCTTGTTATTTTTCTCTCTTCTTCATGAGATTTATTTATTTTTGAGAGGCAATTTGATTTGCTCTGAGAACACTCAGTTCTGGTAACCTTATATCTATTTTACAGCTCCAGCATTTCTAGAAAGGATATTTGTTAGGCAACCAATAAACTCAAGTAACTTGGAGGGGTCACAGATCATCTCAAACTGAATTGTCAATGGTATGAATTTTTACATTCACAGACCCGCAGCTAACAAGACTAATCAGTTTATGGAGAATCAGGAAGGTTGCAGAGAGAACACTGAATTTAATTAAAACGTATAGTCTCCCTTCTATTGGGAATTGAATAGGCAACCCATAATTTTGTTGCATTTATGTAAGATGCTGTTATTAATGTTTCTTTAGAGTATCCTCTCCAAATGTGCACAAAGAATGCCACTGCCCAGTGCACAGGGTTAACTTCGCTTCTACAGGCACATCTGTGGCAAAGGCCCAGTCTCGGGGCCAAATCAGACTTCTAGTGATTGCTACATGCATGGCAGTATACTCCAGACCACCTACGGAAATGAATTAGCTGGGCACTGGTGGCTCACACCAGTAGCTACCTAAGGGGCTGAGATCTGAAGATTGCAGTTTGAAGCCAGCCCAGGCAGGAAAGTCTATGAGATTCTTATCTCAAATTAATCACCGAAAAAGCCAGAAGTGGTGCTGTGGCAAGTAGTAGAATGCTAGCTAGCCTTGAGCAAAAAGGGCTCAGAGTTCAAGCCCCAGGACTAGCAAAGCAAAAAAAAAAAAAAAAAGAAGAAGAAGAAGAATTAGGGACTCCCCAAATAGGAAATACCCGCTGCTTAGCTAAATTCAATATTTTCTCACTTTTTAATCTATAGACCAAATATTTAACTGTCTTTCATGGTGCCAACCAGGCACTAACCACAACTTCACAGTGGCTCCTCTTTTTTTTTTAAATTAAAACAAAGAAGCCCAGTACGTTTAAACTGAGAAAGCTGCAATATGCTTCCTTAAAATAACCATTTTTGGCCCTGTGCATCACAGATTCTTCAAGACTTGCTCAAACCCTGACACAGGGGTACCTTTTATTTTTAGAATCTGTACAGGTTGGATTAAAGGACTGGGCCATGCTCTTCTTCTATCTCAAAGGGACAACTCTGGCTCAGCCCATCAGAAAGCAATACCACGGGGTACTTATACTTGCAGAAATCATAGGGTGGTGGGTAGTTCCGCAAGAATCAGAATCTAGTTCTTATAAAAAAAATAAGCTAATAAAAAACCCCACTCTATGGAAAGAGAGATGCACCAGGATTGTTACAACAACACACTGCATAGTGCCCGAATGTCCTTCAGTAGGAAAAAGGATATGAATTGTGGTGCATTTACATCCCTGAAAATTAACCCATTATTAATAGGTCCAAAGAAGAATGAAGAATGACAACAAACAAAATTATGTATACAACATGTGTTTTTTTCCCTCTAAAATTAAAACAAAACAGCATGTTTGGGAAGGCACTGGTGAAGAATGAGATGCTCAACCACAGGGTCACCAGTCTGGCATACATTTGGTGTGGAAGGGTGGGGAGGAGAGAAACAGCAGATGAGGAAAGGGGTAAAAATCATGCTAACAGACAGAACAGAAAAGAGTAAGTCCAGAGCAGTGAGGCTAGGGATGGTTGGGAGAGGGATGTGAGCCTTCGAAACCTACCTAAGTACTGGGAAAGCACAGCGTAACAGTGGATAAAACCAAAACGCAAGCTGGGCACTGGTGGCTCACGCCTGTAATCCTAGCTACTCAGAAGGCTGAGATCTGAGAATCACGGTTCAAAGCTAGCCTGGGCAGGAAAGCCCGTGAGAATCTTTTCTCCAATAAACCACCAGAAAACCAGAAGTGGCGCCGTGACTCAAGTGGTAGAGTGCTCACCTTGAGCTGAAGAGCTCAGGGATAGCGCCCAGGCCCAGACTTCAAGCCCCACAACCGATAAAAAACAAAACAAAACAAAACAAAAAAAACTAAAAGGCAAACCAAACCCACATTTTAATTCACTGATGGAGGGTAGAAAGTACAGACAAGAAGGCAGCTTCTTGGGATCCCATTTAAATGGGTCACCTTGTTCTGATAGGCAACTCTTACCCTGGAGCCTGGTATTAGAGCAATTGGTTTATTTGATCATTTGCTAACATTAGCCATTAGAAGACTTCAAGCATGTAAAGTCAATTAAATAAACATAAAAATGGATGATACATAAAGAGATGTTCAGGGCATACAAAAAACAAAATCATCTCATGAAATGAATAGTCTATCCTGCAGCTTCATTACTCTCATAGCACAGCAGGAAATAAGTTGGTTCATGAAGAATTCCTTTGAATTTTATTGGAGGCTAAGTCTGGTGTTTCCAATATGACTCTTGAATAAACAACAGCAGCTCAGTACTATACTCTGTCTTGTTACTTGATTGCTAATTTGATTTTTTCTTTTATAAAGTACTGAGCATTAGATTCTAACAGTGTATTTAAATCACTCCTGGAAATCAACATCCTTCAGAAAATCAGTTATTGTATCTGTAGTTAAAAGTTATTCACAAGTAACAATTAATTATAACACAACCCAAGTGACACAATAAGGGAAATTCTTCAAATAGCTTCCTCAGCTCAACCATAAACTACCAACACAAACTTCTCTGACTTTAGCGATCAAGCAGAATGAGCTTAAAATACATACTCAAATTTAAGCTATCCATACACATGAATAGTATAAATTATTCACACTAATGACTAAGAATAATAAGTAATTGGTGTTAAGCAAAAGAAAATTTTCCAGATCATTTAAATATGCTTAGTGTGGTCCCTGCCCAGGAAAATTATCTCAACATTTGTGTATTTCTGTGGCTGAGAAAGGCCGCCACTGCTCCATGCCAGAAACAAAGTCTGGCCCCTTGGTAAAAAGATATGCTGCTGGGGATGGGTGGCTTACCCCTGCAATCCTAGCTCCTCAAGAGGTTGAGATAGAGAGGATCACAGTTTGAAGCCAGCTTGGACAGAAAGGTTTGCTAGATTCTACCTCCAAAATAACCAGCAAGACAACAATGACAAAAATCCAAAGTTAGAGGTGTGGCTCAACTAGTACAGGGCCAGCTGTGTGCAAGCAGGCCAAGTGAAAGCACAAGGCCCTGAGTTCAAATCCCAACACCACTAAAACCGAAGAATGTTGTCTGGGAGATGGCAGTAGAGCACACAGCCAGGACTCACACACAACCTTAGGCAGCTGCGGTGGGCTTTTTGGATCATCTTTCAAGCAAGCTATCGTAACCAAGCATTTTAACAAGGAAAAGCTCACCAAGAGGATTGACAATAAAAGGCAGGGCTATATTCTAAGTGGTCTAATTCAACACATTTGGCCAAAGCCTGACAATATTTCTAATAAAAATGGGACTAAAAAAAAAGTCATTCCATTGTTCCTAGTACCTTTCAACAACCCCCAAAATGAGAACATTAAATAAGAACTGTGCATCTCAGTAGCACAAAAAAGATGACCTTATTTTTAAAAGAACATATTCACCATTAATCAAAACATTAACCACCCCCAGAGACTTTTGCCATTAATGTCTGATAAAGTAGGTCATTACCGTTGATTCCTCACCACCCGTCACAGTGGACGAACGTGCTCTCCTAGTTGGGGTACTGGGCTGTTAAATGACAATTTATATCAGTGAATGCAACTCAGGGGACCACCCAAGGGTTTAATGAATCAAGAATCATGTCTGTGGCAGAGTCATAAGCAGGTGACAGGAGATCAGGTGATATGAGATCAGTCCCCCCTCCCCCCACCTCCCTTCCAATTCATCTCATCTAAATGAAGCTAAGCAGTCCCCGATGATCAGCAGCCAAGGAGAAGTATGGTCCCCACTGTGCACCTATGCCACCTTTGGTGGCTCTAGCTGCACTCTTGATCTGAGTGAAGAATGACCACCTCAAGACAGTGAGACAACTTTTAAGAGAACAATGGAAAAGCAATCAGCTGTGTCCTACTGTCCAAAGATGAGCAGATCCTAAGTCTGCCAGACTCAGAGTTCAGGTGAGAGGCCACACTGGTGATCAGAGAGGACCCAGCATCATACAGAACAAGGAAAGAAGGAGAAATCGATTTCCAGGCCAGTGAATTCTTTGCAAAACAAATTGACACTGATTTTGGAAAGAAGAGCAAAGTGCTATTAACTCATCAAGGAAAATCACAGAATCATTAGGTTGAGGAGCTGAAATAATCATAGCTGATAATTTTTCTTTGGTAGTGGGTGTACCATAACCCATCCCCGAAAAGGTGCTCTTAGACTTCCTATTAGCCAACCTACTCAGAGTTAAGTCATAGCAGAATATATTGCCTTGGCTAGAACATTCCTTCATTAATTCAGTTCTTAAACATACAATATTAAGATCTATATACCCTTTAAAGACAAGTAAAAATGTACATGATCAGGAAGACACTGGGCTCAAAGCTTTAAATGTGTGTGTGTGTGTGTGTGTGTGTGTTGTGCTGGTAATGGAGTTTGAACTCAAGGCCTTGCACTCTTGCTTGGCTTTTTCACTCAAGGCTGGTGCTCTACCACTTGAGCCATTCATTTCCAGCTTTTTTTCTGATTAATTGGAAGTAAGCGTCTCAGACTTTTCAGCCTGGTCCGGCTTCAAACTCTGATCCTCAGATTTCAGCCTCCAGAGTAGCTAGGATTACAAGTGCGAACCATCAACACCTGGCTAAATATACTCACTTAAAAAAAATCATATGTAATAAAGTATGTCAAAAATAACCAAGGATTTGTAGCAATTAAATAAAAGGTCTCAGTTATGAAAAGCCTACAATATTCACTTCCAAAAGAAGGAAGACATTTATATAAAATTTCTCCATTGCAATACTGACACCACACATCTTCCAAGGCAATCCATGGGAGCCCGCCCTTCCATTGGAATAAATGTTGTAAAACGTATTGGCTATTATGAAACCCTCTATCGCATCTGTGTTTGCTGATAGAAGCTCTGTGGGAGGGAGAGAACAAGCAATAGCCAGTCCTTCAATCACAGAGCTAGCTGTCTTTAAAGAGAGCGCAGGGGCTTTGTGGAATTGAAAGTTTAGGCCATTGGTCGTGACAAAGAAGAGTTCTTCCTGTTTAAAGGGCTCAAGAGACCACTGAGTGTCAGAGTCCAGCTCCCTAGGCTGCAACTGCAAGGGCCAAATCAAGTAAAAAGAATTTATTAACATTCCAGGTAGTTTCGGTCAAGTAATGACATCAGCACTGGCGTGAAATTGGGAGTAAAACTACAGCCATGAAGCGTCTTAGTACTTTAGAGACTCTGGTGGCAATTTGCTAGAAAGATTTCAACTGTCTTGTTTATGTGACACACAGGAAAAACTCTTTCTCAGCAGCCTTGATCATAAAGCAAAGCTGAAGAGCCAGCTGTTGATGGGAAATGAGCGTGGGTTACCGGTGGTAGGTGGGCCTGCTCGGCGACAGCATCCGTGACACTACAGGACCGCAGCCTCGAGGAAGGTTCTCTCTGCTGCAGGGAGGGAAAGACAGCAAGCGTCAATGGGAATATTCTGAGAATGGCTTGCACTGGTATTGTTAGCATTCTCAAAAATCATTCCTAGGAATCCCTCTCAGATGTTCTGAGGTAATTACATGCAATATCTTTTCAGAGCAAGGATAGCATTCCTCCAGGAGAGTTAAGTCGTCTTGTTTGAAGTGTCAGTGTTTTTAGCAGACTGGGATTTTTTGGTGGTGTTGGTCATAGGGCTTGAACTCAGGGCCTAGGCACTGTCCCTGAGCTATTTTGCTTAAGGTTAGTGTTCTCTACCACTTTGAGCTACAAAGCCACTTCTGATTTTCTGGTAGTTAATTGGAGATAAGAAACTCATGGACTTTCCTGCCTGGGTTGGCTTTGAACTGGGATCCTCAGATCTCAGCCTCCCGAATAGCTAAGGATTACAGGCATGAGCCACCATCACTTGGCTCAGACTAGGATTTTGAATGGTCTTTTGAATCAATAGCAAAACTTAGACAGGGAGATCAAAACTACTGGGAAGGAAATACAATGGGCCCTTGCAGCACCGATGAGCGCTTAGCAACCAGCTTTAAAAAGTTAATATGCCAGGGGCCAGTGGCTCATGCTTGTAATTCTAGCTACTCAGGAGACGGAGATCCCAGGATCATGGTTTGAAGCCAGCCCAGTCAGGGAAGTCTATAAGACTCTTCTCTCCAACTAACCACCAAAAAGCTAGAATTAAAGCTGTGGCTCAAGTGGTAGAGCCTTCAGAGAAAAAGCTAAGGGACACTGATCCAGACCTTGAGCTCAAGCCCTACCCAGTACAGGGGGTGGGGGGTGAGGGTGGCAGGGTGGGGGTTTTAGAAGACATGTATCCCTTGCTTCAGATGCCAGTTCTGGATAAATTCCAAAAATTCCCCCAAAAGGAGCAAGAAATAGCAATAGATGGCTACTTAGCATCTGTTATTATTATTATTGTTATTTTGTGCTAGTGCTGGGATTTGAACTCAGAGTCATGCTCTTTGCTTGGCTTTTTTTGCCCAAGGTTGATGCCTTTATTACTTTTCTGCTTGGGCTGACATTGGCTGGGAACTGCAATCTTCAGATCTCAGCCTCCTGAGCAGCTAGGATCACAGGCCTGAGCCATAAGCTCCCAACAACATTCATTATTACAGTTAACAAAGAATGAGTTGGATTGTGTATCTACATGAAGTCACAAAACCACCTCATCCTACTTCTGACCGTAGGATTCTATACTTTCAGCTTCCTGGTACAGTTCAAGAAACAAAAATGAAACAGTCCTATGTAATGTATAGCATTTCTCTTGCTTGTTTGTATTCTATGTAATTATACACAGTCTGATAGCTCTGAACAATAACAGCCAAGGGTCTCATTAGCAGAATTATCCATGACCTAAGATTGTAGCATGTATTATTTTTAAACATTTTGCATTCTTTAACATTTTCTTTTTTTTTAAATTTAATTTGATCAAGGCTGGGGATGTGGCTCAGTGGTAGAGTGCTTGCCTTGTATGCATAAAGCCCTGGGTTCGATTCCTCAGTACCACATAGATAGAAAAGGCTGGAAATGGTACTGTGGCTCAAGTGCTAGCTTTGAGCAAAAGCAGCTCAGGGACTGTCTGTGTCCAGGTCCTGAGTTCAAGTGCCAGGACTGGCAAAAAAAAAAAAAACCAATTAATTTTATTGTCAAGGTAATGTACAGAGGGGTTACAGTTATGTATGTAAGGTAGTAAGTACATTTGTTGTCAAACATTATTACCCCTTCCCTTGTTTTCCTCCCACTAACATTTTCACAATGACAAGAAGTCATGTGTAAAAATGCTCTGTGATAGGGACCAGGCACGGAGTTATTCTTGAGCAAAATGTTCAAAATACTGTCAATGAAATCAGAATGAACCTGAGAAGCAAAACTAGAGAAGGGCTCCTTTAGACATTCTAGGTAGATCAAATATATATATATATATATATATATATATATAATGTAATGTGGCCCTTGGGTATTAAAGATAATTTATGTTTCTAAAATAATTAACATTCCAAAGCCCCCTATACAAACAACTAGAAATGCCAACATTGGAGAAAATTACTATTATTTTTACTTGGTTGACTAAAGGTGTGTATCTGTTATAATTCATGTAATTCTTTCTTTTATACATTTGAAACATAGGGTTTCATGGCCTGTGCAGTTTCCATAGCAACTGTATTACCAATTCAAATGTACCATATATGGAACTTTCTTTCCTGTCCATTTAAGCACTACATTTTCATTTCAGTGCCATTTCTCTTTTTGAAAAACACTCACAGGCTCTTAATGTGAAACAAGTAATCAATACCTGCAACTCATCTAACTGAAGCCAGTGTTTTTAAAATGAAAATACCCTTGACTAAAGAACCAGAAAGCTTGTAGTTTGCTTTGACAATTTTGTAGTCCTCCCTAAAAATGGTTCCAGGTTGCCATTTTTAATGGAGGAACTGCCATCCTTAGGAACTAGTTAGCATTTGCCCTTTGTTGTGTGTGTGTGTGCGTGAGCATGCACGCACACACGCACACATGCGCACACATACACACACAGAGGAATTATCTATATAGACTGCTCCTTAGTTTGGTATTGTCTAATGCAATACTACTCATGACTGATCCATTATTTCTCATTGGGGTTTAGCTTCATCTGAAGTTTCTAGAGAAGAACTTCTTCAATGGTCAAATTACATCAGTGTCACCTTTTCTCAAGGACTCATATACTCTAGGACTTAGGGACATCCTGTACTTCCCACCTCAGCCTGGTCCTGAGCAGGCCACTTAGCATCAGGCCATTTTCTCTGTTAAATGGGAATGAAAGAACGAACATGAACTATGACCAGGTGACCAGTAAAGAGGCCCAAAGGCTCTGGATTCTCATGAAATGCCACCTTCATGATGAAAGTGCTAGTTCCATGAACTTTTTTGTGGCTTTTCTGAAAGAAATCCTTCAAGGTTAAAGCTAGTGATTGCAGAAATCATGGTATCTCATTCCTTTGCATTATTTGATAAGTAATAGTAATACAAACAAAAAGAGCCGGTGGTGTATAACTGCTTTCCAAATCATAAAGATCCTCACCTTCCTGGGCTAATCTTAGAAGCCCTGCTTCTCTGAAGGAAGACTTTGGAAAACACCACAGGTAACTAGCTTTGCCACACTAGAGTTTCCTAAAGCTACCAATACCAGAAGATGGGTGCTTGGCTGTTCTTTCACACAAGACCACTACTTACAATCAGAGAACTGAACTGCTCCCCATTGGCGTCTGGGGTGATCTGAAGCCTTCTGCTCAGCTCCTCCGACAGCTCCTGGGGGCTGTTCCGAGACACTGGGGAGGCAGGAGGCGGGGGCAGCGCCAGGCTGAGGGAGTCTCCTGCCATGTTTACTTCCTCTGAAATGGTCTCCCAGGGCTTTTAAGGAATAAGAAAGTCAAGTCAATGCTAGGAACTGGGAAATCCTTCCCTCCTCCCCTCAACAAAAACACTCAATAATAAGCATTAGGAGAACTATCATTAACCTCTACTTAACATTTACCATGAGGTTCACAGTCTTCATGATAATCATGAGGAAGATAGGATCACTGTTTCAAGGAACACAGGACACAGAGGAGCAGAGGGTAACTAACTGGCCTAAGGCAAGTATGAAGGAGACAGGCCGTGGGCTGTGTGTGATCACTCATCATACTACCATGTTCCTGGACAGTGGCTTAGGGCCAGATCCATTACCAAATGAACAGGTTACAAACCTCTCAGGAGTTCAGACATGATTTTACTGGGTTTTCTTTTACTCTAACTGCTAAAAACAGCACAGACACTGTTAGCTGTAATTAAACCTTAATGTAAAGTAACTTCAGTCAATTTATTATGGCATCATGAGTCTGCTTTTGTTGTTATGATTTCAGCAACATTTTGTGAAAGACTTTCTTTCCAACACAAGGTCTAAAGAGAATGGAATTCCAGTAAGTAAACAGCAGTCAACATAACATGGAAATTTAAGATTAGTGCTGATTTTTCATTTAATTCATATTCTTTTTCAGTAATGATCTATGGCCATTTAAAGGGAAAAACTACAAACATTCCTATCAATCTAAACTTGCATTTTCTTCCTAACAGAAATCTCTTTTCAGGTTGTCAAAATGGCTTTGTAAAAACGGGTCTATGAGGGGCTGGGAAGGTGGCTCAGTGGTAGAGTGCTTGCCTTGCATGCTTGAGGCCCTGGGTTTGATTCCTCAGTACCACATAAGCAGAAAAAGCCAGAAGTGGTGTTGTGGCTCAAGCGGTAGAGTGCTAGCCTTGAGCTGAAGAGCTGAGGGACAGTGCCCAGGCCCAGAGTTCAGGCCCCATGACTGACAAAACTAAACCAAACCAAACCAAAAAATACTAGTTGATAACACCCAACAATTGCTCAAATATGTGAACTTTGATGTCATTTAATGAAACATGGTAAATGCTGGGAAAAAACACATTAAAAAGCGAGACTCTTTCCTTCTAAGCATGCCATTCCCTTCTGCAATAATGATAATAATAATAATAATAAAGAGCACTTGGTCAAACATCTTTCTTCCTTTCTTTTCTCTCCCTTCTCTCTTTCTCTTCCTTTCTCTTCCTCTTCCTCCCTCTCTCCTTCCCTCTCTCCTCTCTCTAATTTTTCCCCAGTGTTGGGGACTGAACCTAGAACTTTGCATATGTTTGGCAAATGCTCTATCACAGAGCTCTGCCCCTTGCCCTCAAACATGGCTTTCATAAGCACTTGTTAAATCAGTTAAGAGCCAGATGGGAATCAGTCAGCTGTGATTGGTTCCTGACAGGGCTGAGAGGAGGAATACAACACAGAAGCATCCAATGAACAACGGGAAGTCTGAAGCAGCTCAAGCACAGCCTACCTCAGGGCCCTCTCCACCTTCCGAGGCCTCGGGCTCCAAGTCCTCACTGATGTGTCTGCGTGAGCGGAAGCGACGGTGTGCGGCCTCCTGGTTGATCTGTCTGATGTTGTTGTCCGACTCGGAGGACACATCCCTGACGGCAGGGTGAGAGAGGGCGAGAAGATCAGGGGTGTTCAGAACAAGATCACAACTAGATCAACCCTTACCCAGGGCCAGCCACATGCCAACTAAGACTCAGGTGTCACATATTGACAAACAGGGAACTCTTAGCCTCATTCTGGCTATAGTGTATGCACAATTCATCTTAATCAGGTAAACACAGCTTTCAAAGCAGGGGTCACAGTATTCTGATGATTCATCAGGTACATAGTCTTCTCTCTGTGGCTATGGGGGACTGAATCCAGGACTCCTTCTTTCTCTATGGATACCAAAGTGACAGATGCCTATAACGGATATACAGCTTTTGGTATTCCTTACACATCTGGTTAGTTGGAGATAAAAGTCTCACAGACTTTTCTGCCCAGGTTGGCTTTGAACCACAATTTTTCCAGGTTTCAGCCTCCTAAGTAGTTAGGATTATAAGCATGAACCACTGCCACCTGGCTGGAGTTCTTAATTGTTTTTTGGGAGGAGAAGGGATACCAGTAGGGTGCCAGTGATTCATACTTGTAACTCTAGTTACTCAAGAGGCTGAGATCTAGGGGATCAAAGTTTGAATTCAACCCTGGCAGAAAAGACTATGAACTCTATCTACAAAATAACCAGCACAAAGTTAGGCTGGGGGTACGGTTCAGATGGCAAAGTGCTACCCAAGGAAGGAAGTCTGGCAAGTACAAGGTCCTGAGTTCGAACTCTGGTAACAGTAGTTTCTAATGATATCAATTTTCCTCTAAAGAGTGCTAAGGTATTCTGTGAAAACTGAATGATGAAAATATTTTGAGCCTAGGACTTTGTACATCTAGCATTCTTGTTTCCTAAGACAGTCTTTTTTGTTTGTTTTCTCACTATGCAGCCCAGGCTGGCCTTGAACTTGTGATCTTCCTACCTCAGCTTCTTTAGTATTGGGATTATAGGAGTACCTCATGATAGCAAAGTGAATCAACACAACTTGTAACGATAATTTTTGGATCTAGGGGCTTTAGGTCAATTCAGATTACCATTTATGTGCAGGGGTGACAGAGAGGCTGTTTGTAGAAACTTTTTCCTTCTATTGTTTGCTCCCTGAAAATTGAGCCCATGGACAGGCTGACCTCCTTATGTGCATGGAGTTCTGCAGGTGTCATTCCTGGCTCAGTCTCTCCCTTCAGCAATGGTGCCTTACTGGTGGGGACAGTCACATCATTGACTTCTTCCTAAACCACAGCAAGCCCACATCAGAACATCTCCTTTGGTCTCTGGATGAGTGATGAACCACCATCGTACAAAGTGTTGGTTTGCTTTAGTTTGGTTCTTTGGGGCAGTGTCACCAAAGATAGTATTTCTTTCAACTGACTCATAAGAAATTAGACCCGTTTTGAAGAGTTTGGATATATGTAAACACCTTTGAAGCCATCACAAAAATCACCAAGGTGATTAAACAATATTTAAGCAATGTGTGAAGTGTTTTCTCATTGCGGACTTGAGGTTAAAAAACATAGCAATTATTTATTTATTCCCCAAATATAGACTTGCAATCTGCATGGTCCTGATGAATGAAGTTGGACAATTTTCCATGTATGTATCAGCTATCAGTGTTTCTTCTGCTGTGATTAGTGAGTGGTCTAGTTTCCATGGTCTTGTGTGATTCTGGTTTCACCTGAACCTCTGGAGGCACCTCTGTGCGTAGCTGAGTAAGATACCTCTGTGCTAATCGGCCAAGGAGGGTGGCATACTGCTTAGAGTATGGGCTGCAAGGTTCTTCACGAGCTGAGGCAGATGCAAAGAGCTAGTCAAATGCTTTCCATATTCCCAATAGCTATGGTTCATTCATGGAACGAAATGGGAATGAATGAATCAATGAAATCATTTCCATGTATACTAATTGCCCCAGCATCTTGATGTTTATGCTGAGAGCAATGAGCTAATGGCCACCTGGCAATCCAAAGTAGCCAAGACCAGTGAGACACAAGACCTTCTCAGAGATTCATGGAAAATCTACTATGTGCTATTCCCAATTCTGCAGATATTAGCTGGAAATTAATTAAAACCTATACCACCAGCTGAAGTGGCCACATTCTCTACCCACTTTCTTGTTCATTTACAGTATCTTTGTAACTTCTAAAGATACGGGGTTTGTAAGAATACCTTTCAAAGTCTGGGAAAGGTGGCACATTCCTGTAATCCCAACATTTGGGAGGTTAAGGCAGGCAGTCATGAGTTCAAGGACAATCTGACTACATACTGAACCTCTGTCTCCAAAAAGACTGGTAAACCAAAATAAAACACCTAAACCAAAAGAATTCAAGATTACTATCACCTGTATAAAAAGGATCGTCAACATATTTCTTTTCGAGTTTGGACAGAAAATTATCTTATTGGATACATTTGCCTTTATTGTAAGTGGAAAATTATAAAGTAACTTATAACTCTTAACATAACTCTTGGTTATTACTAGGAAGCTCATACTTTCTTTTTTTTTTTTCTTTATTTTTTATTTCTACCCTTCCCATCCCTTCCCAGCCTCCCCCCTCCCCCCATGGAAGCTCATACTTTCTAAGAATTTATTTTCTTTCTTTAGTACTTTCAATTTGCTTTTCGTTGTACACCGATAGATTTAGGTCTTGCTATAAAATATGATCCAACAATAAGATTCCCTAAAGACTTTTTAAAATTTCCTCAGAAACCAAAGGGTTAACTGCACCCCTTGTCCCTGAAAGTGGTAAGTAATGAAAATAAGGAAAGGAGGAAGAGAAGAAGGGAGGGAGGGAAGGAGGGAAAGAGGAAGGAAGGAAGGAAGGAAGGAAGGAAGGAAGGAAGGAAGGAAGGAAGGAAGGTTTTTCATACTGGCTCAATCAGGAGAGAAAGCTGAGTAAGAGGGAAGAAGCTATTCACAATATAATTTTCAAATTAAGATAAATCTAGGAAAAATAGATTTTAAGAATAGCATCCTGCCATGTGGACCTGACGAGTCTACAGCTGTGGCTGAACTAAGGGCAGTGTTACTGATGTAAGAGTGGCTATGCTGGCATCTAACTGTGTGGGGCAAGTCCTGTCCAAGTGACCCTGACAGCCTGTGGTACTCACATCATGCTCGGTCGGTGCCACTGTGTGGTCCGGTTGTTGTGGTTCACATAGTAAGTGCGGCCTAAATTGTCCACTTTCTCTTCCCATCCTGGGGGCAGAGGAGGCGGAGGAAGCTCTTCCTGGTGCTGAGAAGCTGAGTCACTCGAGTCCACCACTTCCCACCCGTGCTGTGGAATGAAATCAAATGGAAGGTTCAAGCTGGTCTTCAGATTCCAGGGAAAAGACAATTACAGCATATTCTCCAAGTCTTTACCCTTGCTCTATTGTATTGCTTCCTGTGTCCTAACTTGATATACTACCCTCAAAAACTTAAAAGAAATCCATTTAAAGTCTCAAAAACTTTACCGAGTACCAGTGGCTCATGCCCATAATCCCAGCTACTCAGGAGGCTGAGATCTGAGGATTGCAGTTCAAAGCTAACCTAGGCAGGAAAGTCCATGAGACTTATCCCAAATTAACCACCAGAAAACGGGAAGTAGAGTTGTGGCTCCAAATGGCAGAGTGCTAGCCTTGAGCAGAAAAGCTCAGGAACAGCACCTAGGCCACGATCGACAAAAATAAATAATTTGTTTTGGACCAATAGGCAAATTAATCATGCCACTCTCTGAGATATCTGTACTGAAGCGGGGGCTACATGGGGTGGGTTATGGAGTCTGTTCCTTAAGTCTCCCTGTACTCTTTTCACATTTCAGTTGGTTATTCTGACGTGAAGGCCTCCAGGGCTGAACAAAGGTAATGACATGGGCCTGTCACAGCTGTCACCACTGGCATTCTCTTAACCCCATGAGCTAAAGCAGTACCATACGCACATGCATTGTAACAAAGCTCGGTGTGGGCGACTAGCGGGGCACATCTCTGCCCATCCCCAGGGGAGGAGGTGGCAAAGCCTCCACTGTGCATTTGCTATTCGTCTAGGAGCCAGAAGTAGCTTGGAAGCTGTTGCACAAACAGGCCTCATGGTACCACGATCAGAGGTGCACTTTTACAGCGCATACTTTACGCATTAAGTATTGCTTTCCTAACATCCCTTAGCAAAGTCAGTGGAAAATCAAGTAATTCACTGGTTACTGCAGCTGGAAGGCAAGAAGAGTGTAAAAAATTCCTTGGATTTGACATGAAAATCTGTTGCTGGGATTACCAAATCTTACCTCCCCTGGGGCCTACCACCCACTTGAGCCCATGGTGAAAGAGTGCCTAGACATGTGGCCTCGGTCAGAGGAGGTTGGTCAGACTGCCCACAATATATCACTCACGTGTCACGTATACGCAACAGCTGCAAACAGATGTGAAAACAGCCACAGAGAGGCCGTGTTCCATGTGGGTTTGCAGAATAACGTGAGAAAAATGTCTAATGGACAATGTCTAAAAACCATGTCTAAGGAGACAGCATTGTCTGAGAAGGTCCACCGGGACCTAGGGTACAGGTATATGACCAGAAAATGAAGTGGTCATGATGCCAGCAGGACAAAAAGAAAAATTTCTCTGGATAGCTAATTATTCCCAAGCAGCAATTTCTAGAGGAGAGCTCTCCTAATACAAGCAATCGCCTATCTACGTGCCATATTTGTAGACCATATGCATCAGGAATGGAGAGAGATCTGCTAAAGCACCCTGTCCACTCCAAAGCAATTTCAAGTGCTACAAGCAACTTAAGAGAGTTCAAAGTCCAAGACAGTAACAGCCTAACTTGTTGGAATGTTGCAGATTGTATGTGTATGTCTATGTGGGGGAGGAGGGTTGTAGATAGAAACCGGATTGTCTGTTCACAAACGATCATGCTATACCATCTAAAGGACAAACTCTCCAATTGTTAGTGCTGTGACACAAAATAAGTTTGTTACAACAACAATTGCATTGGTGGACTACTGAAGACACATTCAGGGGCATATGGAAGTGTTTTCATGTATCTCTTTATCAACTGTCACTTCCTTCAATGACAGTCTCCAGTGGAACATGAGTGGGATCTCAGCCAGGGCAGGCCCGGGCCTGCAGCTGTTCCCCCATACCTCCATGTCGTCCCTTTGCTCACTGCTTTCCTCATCTTGACCTCCATTTTTCGGCATGTAGGCCATTTTCAACCGCAGAAATCCCTTCACTCGAGATTTATGACTGCATGAAGGAAGGAAACTGGTTATAAAAAGGTCTGACATGTTTATATCCTTCCCAGTTATGATGACTATTGAAATTGTCTTCAGAAAACCCAGTATTTGCCAGAAACTGGTGGCTCCAGCCTGCAATCCTAGCTATTCAGGAGGCTGAGGGGAAGATTGCAGGTTTGAAGCCAGACTGGGCAGTCCAATCTGTGTGACTCTTATCTCCAATTAACCATCAAAAAACCAGAAGTGAAAGTATGGCACTTTAGAGTACCAGCCTTGAGTGAAAAAACGAAGCAGGAACAAGGTCCTGAGTTCAAGCCCCAGTACTGGCATAAAAAAAGAAAAGGGAAAGGAAGGGAAGGAAAGGAGAGGGGAGAGGAGGGGAAGGGGAAGAGAAGGGAAAAGGAAGGGGAAGGGGAAGGGGAAGGGGAAGGAGAAGGGAAGGAAAAGGGAAGGGAAGAGAAGGAAAAAGGAAGGGGAGGGAAGGGGAGGAAGGGAAGGGAAAGGGGAGGGAAGAGAAGGGAAAAGGAAGGGGAAGGAGAAGGGGGA